ATGGTTGGAATTGATTTCTTCACAACATACTTCTTGTGTCCCATTCTTGCAGATACAGTCTTTTAATTATGCTGGGCTGCTGTCATTTTTTATTACCTGAATTATTTGGATTTTGATTATTTAAGGGAATTTGTTCTTCCCAAACTGCTTTCCTTTAACATCTCTCCTAGAGTTAATGCATCTCAGAGAATGTAAAGTCATTTTCACATTAGTCTAAATGCTCCTTGAATGGGACTGGTGCCCTGAGTCGAACTCAAGCTATGTCTGTTTCTGGCTGTGCTGAGCACATAGCACAAGTGAAATGTTTGGGACCAGAGTTTTGCTCAGATTTTAGGGGTTCCCAAGCTCTGCTGGGGATATGACCCAGAAGTCAAAATCGTGGGAACCAAAGTAGGACCATAGACCTTGTCGTGTGCTCCTTGGGAAACTGGAGACCATACCCTGTGGTGTTTGTGGGTGCGCTTCAGAGGTTCCCCACGACCTTGCAAGTGGCAGTGATGGTTCTGGATTATTCTTGCTTTCCCTGCCATCCTCAAGTAAAGTCATGTTTCCTGCGCCAGCCTCACACTACCAATTAACTCCCTTTTGCTTTGCCCACTGAAGAGTCCTCTCTTGAGAAGTAATTTTTCTGCCCACAAGAGCACTCACTGAAAGACTGTCACAGCCACCTGTTGTTTATATGAAAAGCCAAGACAGGACCATTCATGACCACTGAGCTGCTGCCCCCCTGACCATCCCAGCCCTTGGTCCTGCTGTGACTCTGCTCTCCAGCCTGGAGCCATCAGGGCCTCTTGACTTCATTTATATCCCCAGGGCCAGCCTTTGGTGTTCTTTCCGGGGCCATGTTTTATGTAGCTGCTGCATTTGAGTTTTGTTAGTCTTACTTTTTAAGAGTGACCAAACTCACAGGAACGGTAAGGGAGCAGCAGAGCGATGCTCCCCTTCCCATAACTGCACAAATGCTCAGCCCAGCACCCCTACCACACGGGATAGATGCAGTTCCAGTTTGTGTCCCGCAAAATGACACACGGAGACATGTGGGGGCTTTGCCCAATTGAAACCACTGTGGTTCAGTGTGCAGACAGGCCTCAACTGCCTGGGTAGATCGGAGTTACCCATGTCAGGGGAATTAGAGTGCAACGTTAAATAAAATGCAGGATGCTTCTTGCCAAGGTGATACAAGATATAACGGGATTTGTCTTGTTCAGGATTGTGCAGTGTCTGGGCCTGGGTGTGCTCACAGGACCTTCTCTTGGGCGGTGACAGGGCATGGGAGGGACACAGAAACAAGGCGCCAGAGAGAGGAGCTCTGGCCATGTCTGTCCCCTGAAGCCCAGTATAGCATGCATGGTGGGGGTGTGTGCCTCTGTCTTGCTTCCCAATCTGGGAGCAGGTGGGTGTCATGCCACCGCTGACTGCCATGTGGCTTAGGTGTATGTTGACAAAGGTAGAAAGTGAACTTGCCATTTTCTCCTTCTGATTTCTAAGCTGATTTCCTTGCAACATTTTTAATATGTTAAGAACCTTTGAACAGCTGGCAGCTATCAAATAAAATAATGGAAGTGGTAGGAAGATGCTCACTTTTGATGAGCTCGTTGCCTCACATTGTGCACAGTGCTGATAGGTGCTCAGTTTCAGTCCCTGGGCAGGCAGGGACGGTGACCTTACCTTCATCAAAGGCAGTTAAACTCACACCGATGTTAAAAGCACAAACTGCAGAGGTTCAAATCCTAGCTCTGCTGATCTCTTGCTGTGTGACCTCAAGCAAGGTAGTTTTCCCGTGTCCTCACCTGTAAAAGAGAGCCCTAATAGTTCTGAGTCTGAGCACATTGGGTTGTGGCTGGAATGAAGTGAGTTAATATTGAGAAGGTGCTTAGAACAGTGCTAGGTACCAATCATGGTTCCTGTGAGAACTATGGCTGTTCCTGTCAAGATCAGCAGTGGCCTTGTGCAACCGCACTCAGGGCCATTGGCTTATGCCTGTGTCTAGCAGGTATCCAGTAAACATGCTTGAGAGCCTTGGACTTGCATGTTCTGAACTCCTGTTCTTCTCTGATCTGCCACCGGGCAGCTGTCTCTATTAGGTTTCATTCTACTTGTAAATATAGTCCAGCCTCACCTCTAGCTTGCTATCAGCCTCACAGAGTGCATGACTTAGAACAAGAAACGCATTTTGTTCCAACTGGATAGTCTTCTGACACGTTAGAATGCAAAAGACAGCCTTGGGGCAGATGCTTCCAGGACACAGTGCGTGGAAGGGCAAATTGAGGTGGCTCCTTCCCTGAGCAGGCAGTGGAGACCAGCGGGTACCTCTGCTCTCTTCACACCAGCATTGACCAGCTGACAGATCTATTAGTAATTGAGACTCCTGTTAGCGCCTGCGAGGCTGAGCTGGCTTTGGCTCTGGGTGTAATTGAATGCTGTGGGAAATTTGATTAAAATGTGAAAAAGATGCTTCCCGGTCATAGAGCTGTGAAGACTGTCTGGTATCATGGTATTATACAAAAGACAGGACCAGTCGTCCCTGCCGCTGTAGCTGTTGCTGAAGGAACAATTAGAGTCACAATCTCGCTATGTAGCTGAAGTTGTGGTTCTGTCATTTGTCGGCTAGATTACAACTGAGTTGAATGCTTACTTGTTGCTTGTGAGCAGGATGTTAAAGGTCCCCTAATGCTGCGGCCTTTCTGCGTCGCTCTTAATATGATTTTTATGTGAGGGAATTACCGGCTCACTGTTTTTCTGAGAAAACCAGATGGCTGTACTGACACGTTCACCAGAGACTTCTGAGAGTTGTGCCAAGCTTATTAGCATTTGCCAATCTCATGGAAAAACTAAGAAGACTAGAAAACAAGAATACGTGTGTGCTTTCTCCCTGAAAAGCGGGCTTCTGCTCTGAGGAGCCAGAGCAGGCGGCCCATGTGCAACTTGTATTGATCCATCATTCCCCGGGCGGTGACAGCCCAGCCTCCTTCAGCCTGCTCCCTCCCAGTAGCTCACCCCCTCACAGTGGCAGATTTTCATGTCTGCTTTAAATTGTGGACCGAAACCATGTGTCCCCTAGTGCAGTCTAGTTCCAGCTCAGAGAGGCTTCATCACAGCACTGACATGAAAAGACAAACAGAAATCTGACTCACTGTGTTATCCATCCAATAAAAAAACCACCCAAGGGTAGAGAAATAGATATTCATCACATCCCAGCAACTCAGCCAAGCCTGGGAGTTTAAATGCAATATTTCTAGGTGGATTTAGAAAACCTTTCCTTGGCAAAGCAAAGTGTTCTCCTCCTGACAGCTCATTTCACCAATGGGCCAGCCTGTCTGGGTTAGAACAAAGGGAATTCTGCCCGTCTGATTTGGGCCAGATAGCGAGTTTCTGCTTCCCCAGTGATTTGTGTATCGTTGTGGAAGTTTGAATACTTTTCCATAAGTTAAGCAGAATTTCCTCTTCAAGTTGTCTGCATTCGCCTTTATCTGCAGTCAGGTTCTGGCTGCCAAGGTGGCCTTTGCCCTGGTTTAGCATGAGCAGAATAATAGCACTGGCTTGAAAAGAGATTCGAGAGATGATTATGGGATTATTCAGTAGGCTTGTCACCAGAGAATTTATCTGTTACAGAGGACACGTCGTTTTTATTATTATTATGGAATTTCTTCTCTGGAGCCTGTGTGCCTGTGTGTATATTCCAACAGCTACAGTAGCTAAACTTTGAGAGTGCTTGTGTTAGTATATCTTGCTTCTTCCCAGTATCTTATTTTTCCAGAAAGTTCTTTTGGTTAATGAAGGGCCTCTGAAAGAAACGGGTGGGAACCTTACAGGCAGTGTGAACTTAAAGAGGAATATTTCAAGGCAAATGTGGTTTCATTTGAATTGCAGCAGGTAAGGGAAATCTGCTACTTAAAATGTCTACCCTCTGCATTTGGAAATTTCAGCCTTCCCTACCTGAATGGAACAGGCTGTTATTTTTCTTAATGAAATACTAGGGGCAAACTTAGCTAAATGTCTTGGTTCTGCTGAATCTGTCTGAGCCAGCAACAAGCTGCAGCGTATAGGTTGCCAAGTGCCTCAGTGTTGGTCATGTGCATAATTGTGGCAGTTCTGGTATTTAAAGTTGAACATGGTATGATAAAGAAGGAGTGTTCCTGTATGGTTTCCAACAAACACACATGCTGACAGACACACTGATCTGTCTACTGAGACTTCCCAGGCAGCCACCATGGCCCAGCATGGACCTGGCTCTGGCAGACAAGGACAGTGTGGAGCTGACATCCAGAGAGGAGAGACAGTTCAGTTTTCATGAAGCAAGTCTGCAGCTGATGTCTCCCTGGAATACCATGAGAGGCAGGGCCAGCTCTGCCTGGCTTGACTCAGGAGGCCTGGAAGCTGCCTCCACCGGCTCCATGGCCTAAGTGGGTCACAGGTGCCCCTTTCTCTCTCATTTTCAAAATGTGTCAGAACCATTTCTTTCTACGTCTTGGGATGACATGAAGATCAATACAGTTATGATCCACTTTAGATGTTTCAGAGATAGAATCTTCTGTTTGTTCTTTTTTGACCTGCTTTGTTTCTTACCTTCTTTTCTAGCAGTAACTAGGACTTCCAGTAGAGGACAGATCTGGAAAGACAAAGGGCATGAAACTCAGGCCAAGCATGTGGGCACTATTTGCAGCCTAGGACTGAAGGTGTTGGGTATCCAAGGCAGACAGTGAGAAGGCATGCAAGTGGGGGATGTTGGTTTTCACCATCCTCTGCTCCACAACGTCAGGGCTCTCTCAAATCTGTTTATTCATTTGAAAAAATGCTATATAAATGTACAGTGAAGGTAGTAGAAGTGGGATACTTGCCATTAACTGAAAGTGATCAGGATTTTCTGGTGACATCTCAGTGTTTAGCAAAGAAAAAGTGGCTGTCTCAGAGGAGGCAGAGGGTGACAGTTGCAGATTTGCCTTCAGAATGCTGATCTTTCATTTTTGAGGAGGCTTTATTTAATTTTTTTTTTTTAACAGAATGAAGTTGGCCTGCTGGAGTTCTTCCAAAATGTGATAAAAGAAACCAGGGCAGAGCCAAAAAAGGTGACTAGTTGGGTCCTCAACACTTTCCTGGGCTACTTAAAGCAACAGAACCTCGCTGTCAGTGAGAGGTGAGTGAGGTCTGGGGATTTCTTTCTTCCTTTGTGATGTATCCTGTTTCCAGAAGTAGCTGAAATAGGGCAGGTCCAGTTTTTTGCTCTCCCTCAGGATAACCTGACAAGACGCAAACATCCCCTGTGAATTCCAAATTCTAAATATCTTCTTCTTCCCATGTGAAAATGTATTCATTTGCTCAAATCTCTGACTGTGCACTATGTCCTCTGTACTGTGCCAGGGGCTAGGAGCTTGAAGATGAATAAGACAGGTGTTTACAGATTTGTGGAGGATACACATCTATAAGAAAACAGCCAGCCAACTCAGTGTGATCTATAAGAAAAAAGGGACCTGAACAGAAGTTGGGGAAGTCAACCAAGGTTCCCTGAGGAGGTGATGCTTGAGCCAGACCCTAAAGAGCCAGCAGGAGTTGCTGAGTGGTGGGAGAGGCAGGGCATCCAGACACAGAAAGCAACAGTACAGTGCCCAGACAAGCAGGCATGGTAGGCTCAGGAAACCCAGAAACTGCAGGGAGCTGAGAAGGCAGGAAGGAAAGTGGGGAGGGGGGCAAAGCTGTAGAAATGACCAAGGGTCATCTGGAGGACCTTGTAAGCCTTTATCAACAGCTCTTGAAAGCCGAAGACTACAAGCTCATGCCAGTTTCACATTGGGGGGAATGCAGCATGTCTTGGTTAACTCAGGCTGCTATAACAAAATACCACATACTGAGTGACTTAAGCAACAGACACTTGTTTTCCATAGTTCTGGAGGCTGGGAAGTCCGAGATCAGGTTGCTGGCCAATTCAGTTCTTGGTGAGGAAAGACCCTCTTTCTGGCTTGCAGATGTTATGTCTTCACATGGCAGAAGGGAGGTCAAAAAGGGAAAATGGGAAGGAGAGAAAGCCCACTGATCTCTTCCTTCAAGAGCCACAATCCCATAACAGGGGGCTTCTTCTAAGCCTAATTCCTTACCAAAGACCCTGTCTCCTGAGACCATCGCATTGGCGGTTAGGTCTTCAGTATGTGAATTTGGGAAAGACATAGACATTCCGTTCCTATCAACAGAGTGGAAGAGCAGACTAGAGGCAGGAATTCCACTTGGGAACCTCTTGCAGAAATGCCAATGAGAAATGCCCAGGCCTGAGCCAAGGTGACAGTGACTGGGCTGAAGTGAGGTAGGCCAATTTAGAGCAATGATCTCAATGGGTGTGACTTCCAGATTTCTTGCTTGGGCAATGAGGTGAATTGGAGGGCAGACTTTTTCAATTTAGGAGGAGGTAAAAGAAAAGGAATAAGATTAGAGGGAAGGGAAGGGGTGGGGCAGGATGTCATATTACCTAGGGGCATGCTGAGTTCAAGCTGCCTGCAGGACAGACATCCTTCTCAAGGGGTGACAACCAGTCAGCAAGGTAACTGGATCTAGAGATGACAAGAGATCTCTGGGAGGGATGAATGTGAGAGTTCTCATGTGTTCATTATTCAACCCATGTTTATTTAGACTCTGCTTCATGCTGAGTACAGGCCACAAGACAGAGAGGTCCTCTCTCTGACCTTTGGTTTCCTCACTCTGAAATGAAAATGACAGGAGACTGAGGAGGGAGGGGTTGTGAGAAGAAAATGCACAACACCTGGCACATAGTGGGCCTGGGGTTAGTTGCCTTTTCTTTGCCATGTTGGTACGATAAGTGCTAAACAGTGGCACACACAGTCCCTGAACTCCTGTGCCATCTGTTGCCTTTTTGTCTTTCAACTCCCTGTCTTTTACCCCCATCCTATCAGGTCTGACCTTTCCATTCAGAAATTCCACTGTTCACACTGAAAATACTGTGGCCATTCATTGCGGGGGGAGTCGTGGGAGGGTCTGAGAAGGAGAAAGACTAGATAGGATGTGGTGGGGGAAGAGGGGCCAGCGGTGCCTGTGGGGAACCCAGGTGTGGAATGGCAAAGAGCCAGCACATTTGGCAAGGAGGGAGCAGAGCTGCTAGGAGCAGAGTGTAGAAAACAGCCGAGAGGGCTGGGTGACTGTTCAGAGCTGAGCTGGAATATGGAGCATCTAGAAAGTCACTGAGGGATTCAGCCGGGAACTCAGTAAGAAAGCAGACCCCATTCTGTGGTGTGTGCAGGATTCCGTCCTGGCCCCCTGATGCTGTCGATCTCCTGAGGAGGACCAGACTTGTGAATCAGGGTTTTAATTCAGGACAGAATGGATGCCTCCAGTTCTGGCACTATATGCAATACAGTGGGAACAGAGAGGAGAGAGTCTCACAGTAGCCAGAGGAACCCAGGAAGCTACAAGAAGAGGAGGTGCTAGTGCTTCTGGAGGAAATACAGATATCTTTGCTTTAAACATACAGTTTTCCTTATTGGCTATAATTCATGCAACTGAATTTTAGTCTTGGAAGAGACCTTAGGGATCTTATGGTTCATTCAGCTCTTTCACTTAGCAGATGAGGAAACTGAGGCAGGGAGCGATAAGGTGACTTACCTCAGACAGCACAACCGCAAGACTGGAAGCCAAGTGTCTGACCTTCAGATTGATTTCTTTATATGTTGGTCTGTGAAATTAGGGATTTGCTTAAAAACCAACCATTTTGGACGTTTCTAAAGGAACCAAGGGATAAGTTAGCCTGGTGAGTGAACTTGGAGCCCCCAGTATTTATCCAAACCATTCCTAAGCACCAGAGGTACCCAATTCTAAATAAAAGTGTATTTGGTTCTTCCAAAACCAGGGAAAGAGGAAGTGGGCAACAGTTCTGTTTTACAATTTCCTTGGAACAGAAAGTGAGGCGCCTGGACTAAGCCGTGGCAGCACTATTCCTACACAGTTTAAAGAACTTTTTGCTGGACTGATATACCAGCCTACTCATGGAGCAAACATTAATTACTGATCAGCCTCCGCTACTAGGGCTGATGCTTTCAGAGCCAAGAGGGCAGTAGCTACAAAACTGGCGATAGTTTCCTGGTGACACCTGGGCAGAAGACACTATGAGGATCAAATTGGCAGGGACCAGTTTTGTGAATCAGCATTCATGTTTAAAGACCTCTCAGAAGATTGATGTTTAGGATGGGCGTGGTGGCTCATGCCTGAAATCCCAGCACTTTGTGAGGCCGAGGCAAGAGGATTGCCTGAGCCCAGGAGTTCAAGACCAGTCTAGGCAACATAGCGAGACCTTGTCTCTACAAAAAATATGAAAATTAGTCAGGCATGGTGACGTGAGTCTATAGTCCCAGCAACTCAGGAGGCTGAGGCAGAAGGATGGCCTGAGTCCAAGAGGTCAAGGCTGTGGTAAGCCGTGATCTTGCCACTATACTCCAACCTGGGCTAAAGAGTGAGACTTGTAACTAAAAAAAAAGGAGAGAAGATTGTTAAAAGGGTCCAATTTATTGTTGAACTTGGCTTTTTAATCATTTTGAGTTATTCTTTTTAAAGTTTGTTTTGTTTTTTGGTTAATTAACAACTCACTGTAAATTATTATTAACAGGTTTGATTTAGTTAATAAAGTGGACGTTGAAGATTTCCTGGCCAAGTATTTTGTAGTAAAATCAGGCAAGTGTGACCATGCAGTCGTCCAGACCAGTTGAAGGCCCCAAGCCTCCAGGTCAGCTGTGGGCAGCAGTTCCTGAGCAACAGGGAAGGCTTTTGAGCCAAGAAGGGACTGGTGGGACAGGAGGATTAGTCCAGCAGTGTGATATGTAGGATCACATCCAAGCGTGGGGCTGCAGCTGATGGACGTCTGTGAGAGATGACCGTGGCCATAGTCATAGCAATGGCAGAAATGGCAGCATTGGGATTACAGGGGAAGGGATGGCCATAACCAATGTTTTGAAGGATCACTAGGATTTGGTATTAAAGGACTAGATTTGCAGGGAACAGGTGACGAATAAAGAAGAGATGACATGATTTGACTCAGGTAACTGGAAGCATGGTGCTGTCCATTGAACACAACATGTTGTGAAACAGAAGACATGTTGGAGAAATGGCAGAGGAGCAGCTGGTCTATGAGGAAGATAAGTTTAGATTAGGAGAAGGACTGGGTAACTGGCGTGTGGGCCGTGACCTGTTCTGGATAGCCTATGACTAGGAATGGCTTTTACCTTTTAAAAAAAGAATATATGGCAGCGACCAGTATGACCCACAAAGCTTCGAATATTTACTCTAGTGCTTTCTAGAAGTTTCTTCCCTGGTTTAAAACACGTAGTTTTGGTGGCAGAGGCCTCTGGAGGCAGTTGTGTTCAGCAGGTGGGGAGAAGCGGGGCCTGAGGCCACAGCAATGGCAGCCCCTGTGTGGCTGTAACAAGCAGAGTGCACAGGGCCATGTGGTGTGACAGTCGAGTAGAAGGGGGACAGCCAAGAACAAGAGGAAGACGTTGGCGGCCCTCGGAGAAGGGACTCTGATGGCAGCCCAAGGTCAGGCGCAGCAGGATGGGGAGAAGCCACAGGCCCGGCAGCAAGTGAGGGGTAGGCGTGGAGACCACACAACATGACTTGCACAGGGTAGGTAGTAGCCACTGACGGCAGGTTGTTATTGGTGACATAAGGCAAGAAACCAGGTGGAAGCAAGCATACAAGATCAACCAGGGCATCTGCAAGCCAGAAAAGACCTGATTGTTTGTGAAGGTGGGAGATGGAAGCCACGGAAGAGAGGAAGGCTCCTAGGAGGGAGAGTGGCAAGGTTCAGAGCCTAGGTGGAGGGGTGGAAGAGGAGGAGGGCACCCAGAAAGTCCTGGGCCTTGGCTTAGCCGATGTCCTTATGAAGTGGGAGGCAAGGGAATGTGCTGAGAAGGAGAGTGGGAAGAGACCATCCAGAAGGGTTGCCCAGGTGGGCACCGGGCAGGGCTTGGGAACGTGGTGAGACGAACTCAAGGTTGGTGTCCAAGTGCCACCTGAAGGCCCAGGTCCCGTGTCATCTTCCTTCTCATGTCCCATTTTAGCAGAAGCAGAGAGGGTGACTTTGGACTTGAGATAAGCTTGAGGACCGAGATAGCCACACGCTTCAATGGGGGGAGCCCTAGGGGGTACGGCATGGTTGTGGAAGTGTCAGGGTGTCTGCTCCCCAAATTCTAGCTGGAGATGGAACAGTGATCCTCTTGAGCTCTGGGAATGGGTAAAGCTGGGAGATTTGAAAGCTCCTCTTTTCTCCTCTGGCCTTGGGAAATTGGGGAAAAGAGACCAGCACACAAAGCTGAAGCCTGCGATGTCACATGCTTCCTCCATGGAGACCTGTTCCCTGTCCAGAAACCAGTAGTATCTGACATTAGCAAATGATTGGCTTCTGCTGCTGCTGCCATTGTGAGTCAAGTCTGATGGTTTATTTCATTTACTGATGGGGGTCTTTCAGGGTCAGAGTGACAGGGATCAGTCTCATCATCTGACTCAAGGTTAGCTCTGGCATATCTGAGTTGGGGTGTGTAGTATCCCATATATCCCTGTTGGCAAGAGAAATCCTGTGACACGAATACTAATGATCCTCTATGTGTCAGGCATCATGGGAACAAAAAGGTGATTAAGAAACCCCGAGTGCTGTTAGGTCAGTGGAGAGATTGGTGTAAATTTATGACCCAACTGAATAATGAAGGTTATTAGGTGAATTTCCCCAAGGCAAAGTATTTTTAGTGATGCCATCTTCTTTTTCTGTCCCTCTCCACCCCCACGTCCTCTGTATCCTTGTTATGATCTGAATGTTTGGATTCCCAGAAATTCAAATGTTGAAATCCTAACACCCGAGGTGATGCTGTTAGGAGGCGGGGATTTTGGTGGCTGATTGGGGGCCCTCGTGAATGAGGTTAGTTCTCTTAACAAAGAAGCTTCCGAAGGCTGCCTCCCCCATCCGCCATGTGAGGACATAGCGAGAAGGCACCATCCATGAGAAAGTGCGCCCTTGTGAGATGCAGAATCTGCTGGCTCCTTGGTCTTGGACTTCCCGGCCTCTGGAACTGTGAGAAATACAAGTCTCTGTTGTTGATAAGCCGCCTAGTCTTTGGAATTTTGTTCTAGCAGTCCACATGGACCAAGACAGTTATCCACTCATATGGGGATGGGGACCTTCTCTTTTGCATGCTCTAGAAATCCAGTTCAACGTCAGTGCTTGTGATGGGTTCTACACACAGTCTATACTATAAGATAATTGGCCGTGGTATTTCCTAGTACATAACATCCAAGCGACACATACTTTTAGCAAAACCTGCCTTCCTTCTTATGACTTGTCAGTAAAGGCGGTAAGTTGGAAAAGGGTATTAGTTCATCTTGCAGCCCTCTGCCCCTCTTCCTTTGGAGATTTAATCAGGGTGGTTCATAGATGTCCTGAATACCAATTAGTAACACAGAACACTCTCCTAACTGAATGCTCACTTGGAATTACCTTTTATCCCTTCTTTGGGATAAACAGACACAGAGGAGAGTGGGCTGCCTCAGGATGTCAGCTGTTTTGACTGAACAACCCAATAAGGTTTCATTGTACTTGAATTTGAGCATAGTAAATCATACCTGGTTAACGTGCATTCCACTGGTTTGGAGTTCATGGAACTTGGCATAAGAGTTAAGCTGTGGTTTCCTATTATCTAAGCTCATCCAAAGAAATTAATAGTGAATGATGGGAACCGAGTCTTAAACAGAAGGTGTTTTCAAGTGGCATTAAGCACTTCAGAAGCTTTCATTTACAGAGACACACTCATGTGCTATTTATAAGTCATTCCTGTCTATTTAAAGCTAGCCCTCTAAATCTCGGCTAGAGAGAGTTTCATTAGCCTAGTTGTCCTGCGTACAGGTTGAGTATACCCCATCTGGAAATCCAGAATGCTCCAAAATCTGAAACTCTTTGAGCACGTATACGATGCTCAAAGGAAATACTCATCATAGTATAAATTTATGACCCAGCTGAATAATTAAGGTCATTAGATGACTTTCTCTGTGGCGAAGCATTTTTGATTCAGGATTTTCTGATTAGTGTTGTTGAATCAGTAAGTATAATGCAAATATTCCCAAATCTGAAAAAAAAAATTGAAAATTGTAACTTTTCTGGTTCCAAGCATTTTGGAAAAGGCATATTCGGTCTGTATTTAGAAGTAGCAAAAACATGTATTTTAAAATAAATTGTTCCTAAATCATTCTTATCTTTCCATAATTTAGGCACTCACTCCAGCCCACCCCCAAATGTGAATTAATGGCATTTTGTTGTGTTTGGTTGCCCCCTGACCTTTTATATCATGGAATCTTAACAAATAAGTCATATCATAGAAGTCTAGCTATGATGGATTCTGGGTCCTTCTGCATCCAGAAAGCTGTTGAGTACCTGTGGGAGAGGACGTCACGGGCCATAAGGACAGATGAGGACGTGGCTGTGGCTATGTTTCCCTTGCAGAAAATCTCTTACAACTAAAAGGCATTTCTATTTGCACAGAAACACTCAGAAAAGTGGCTTTGTTAGTCATTTTGTTTGAAGTAATTTTTAGGCTGATCTTTCAGTCCAAAATATTTAATTACTGGATTTCATTTTCCTTTTCTCGTTGTGGTTCATGAATTTTGCAGCCACCTCCTTTTTTGACTAATTACACTGAGCAACTGTCTGTTGCTAGAACTTCTGCCAAACAGCTGTTATTGTCGGGTGGTAAAAGACAAAACACTAGTCACAAGAAGTTGTTACATCCTAAAATATACAAATAAATCAATTAAGTCAGAGGGAGCCCAGTTGGCCTGTTATTTTCCTACCTGGGCATGGGTCTCATGACTAAAACCTGCAGGCTTGAGTGTTCCAGTTCTGAGTAGCCGTCTGCAGATGCCCTGATGCTGTAGCTGGTAACTCTGTCTTCTCTCTCTTGGGGGCCGCTAGTCCTGTCACACCCTCTGCGCTCGCACAGCTTCTGGACCTACTGGACAGCAAGGCAATTTCCTCATCAGCAGCTAAGCAGGTACGTCCACCCTCCCCAGAACTCTGACTGCACCACCGTCCCAAGACATGTTCCCTGTGACATCCAAATGCCATCACTAAGTGACTTTAATCACTGAAGTGTTCAGTGCCTGTGGTGGTGTTTTCATGCCGTAAGGCAGAAACATTCCCTTTAGCAGGATATAAAGTCAATCTGTGGGGCACAGGCAGTTGGCTTCCCATCATCGCTCTCTGGGGGAAATGGTTTTTGTCTGGCTTTGTCCTGCATGTCTCCCCCGATATGTGTCTCTGCCTGGGAGCAGTGTCCGCCATGCCCAAAGCAGTCTCAGTTGGGCTCTTGTCCCGTTTCCCACAGCCTCCCAGCAGTCCCTGGGTCGCCTCTGTCACTGCCGCGTGGTTACCCTCAGCAAATCAGCCCTGGGCAAGAAGGGTGAGATCCGATGGTGCACTTAGTAGATAAAATGTCACACACATGCTCAGTGTGTGAAAACTGAGAAAACAGCATCATCCTAGGTGCCTCTTGTTTGTACCTCCACCTGGCAGCGCTAGGTGGGTGACGGATTCCTGGAACTCGGAAAACTCTTACAAAGTAGGTGAGTGATCGAGAACACGTGGGCAGCTGCCTCCTCTCAACTTCAGAGACTGCAGCTGTCAGTGCATCCGCCAGGAAACGTAATGTTATTTTAATGGTACCTTTTGCACTGCATATGCATATTTATCCCACCACAGTAGTGGCAGGTTACAAAGTGAGGCTTGGGAAACAGGGCTGCTTTTGGCTAATTATGAGGCACCACAGAGCACATTCTAGGCTCTGGGCAGTGGAACTGGAGGCAGGAACTCATCAAGGCTCTGTTTACCCACCTTGAGTGAGGCTGTCAGTCCAGGGACTCCACCACATTCAGGAAAGGGTTTTGGTTGTCTGGATGTCAGAGGAATACAAATGTTTGTGACAGGCTCAGCAGTTGCAGAAAGATTTGATGGCCCCAGGGCAGGAAAAAGCCATATATATACCTAAGAGCAGATGAATCACAACATGTGAAATGGAAGAGAAAAAAAAGCCTCTCTCCCGCCCATCCTGCCCCACAAACAAAACACAAGTTAGTGCTAACATAGTTCCAGCGGGAAGAAGTGGGAAATGGTGGAAGGCACTGATGGCGGGATTCAGATACAGACACCTGGGGACTGTACCAGCTTCCGGCATGTTTGAGGGAGGTGGGTGAATCCTGGCTTTTGTGAGGCTCAAACTAAAGGAAAAGCCTAGGAAAGGGTTTAGTGGGTGCTGCCTCTGGGAGTTCCCTTAGCTATCATTGCCTTGGGGAGTTTCTTCTTTTTTTTTTTTTCTCCTTTTATTTTTTGATTTTAGGAATATTACTGGTTTTCTAGAGGGACATAATATATGCTGATTATAAAGAATTTAGGTAATGTTCAAATACATAAAGACTCTCAAATTCTGCCACCTTGAAATGACTACTAACAGCGTGTGAACAGCATTCCAGGCGTCTGTCCGTGTACATATACAGGAGGGAAGAAAGGAGGGAGGGAGGGAGGAAGTTGGGGCAGACATGAGGTCGGAGAGCAAAGACTCAAAAATAAGAGGTTATAGTGTATTCTTGTTTGGCTTTTGTTTTATTATTCATGTATACTGTTCATTGGTTTTTGTCTGTTCACAAAGTTGTCAGCCATGACCACCATCCATTCCAGAACATTTTCATCACCCCAGGAAAGAAACCTATTAAAAAGAAACTCCCTACCGACCCTCCCCCGGGGAACTATCTAACTTGTTTTCTGTGGATTTGCCTGTTTTGGGCATTTCATATAAATAGGCTTATACAATATGTGGCCTTTTGTGTCTGGATTCATTCACTTAGCATCATGTTTCAAAGCTCATGCATGGTGTGGCATGTGTCAGTGCTTCACTCCTTTTTGTGGCTGATGTATTCATTGTATGGATATAGCACATTTTGTCTATCTACTTATCAACTGATGGATATTTGAGTTGTTTCCATATTTTGGCTATTATGAATAGCACAGCTTTGAACATTCATGTACAAGTTTTTGTTGGAGTAATGTTTTCAAAGCCCTTGGGTGCATAGCTATAGGAATGGAATGTCTGGATTATATGGTGATTCTGTGTTTCACATGGGGGGAAGCTGCCACACTGTCTTCTAAAACAACAACACCATTTTACAATCTCACTTGCAGTGCTCAAGGGTTCCAGGTTCTCCACATTCTCACCAGCACTTGTTATTGTCCATTTTTTTTTAATCCTAGCCATCCTAATGGGTGTGTCGTCATAGCCCACGGTGGATTTGATTTGTACTCCCCTAATGGCTAATTATGCTGAGCATATCTTTGTGTTATTTATTTATTTATTGTTGAGACAAAGTTTATCTCTGTCACCAGGCTGGACTGCAGTGGCAAGAGCTCACTGCAGCCTTGAGCCTCTGGACTCATACAGTCCTCTTGTCTCAACCTCCTGAGTAGCTGGGACTACAGGTGTGCACCCCATACCTGTCTACCTTTTTTATTTTTGTAGAGAGGAGGCCTCACTGTGTTTCCCAGGCTGGTCTCAAACTCTTGTCCTTGGGCGATCCTTCCACCTCAGCCTCCCAAAGTGCTGGGATTACAAGTGTGAGCCACTGTGCCCAGCCTTGTGTTTTATTTTTATAGTGTATGTGTTTTGTTTTGTTTTTTTGAGTTGGAGTCTCACTCTGTCATCCACTGGAGTGCAGTGGCCACTTCTGGCCACTGCAGCCTCGACCTGCTGGGCTCCAGCGATCCTTCTGCCTCAGCCTTCCGAGTAGCTGGAATTACAGGCATGTGCTACGATGCCTGGCTGATTTTTTTTTTTTTTTTATTGTAGAGATGAGGTCGTGCCAAGTTGCCCAGGCGGGTCTCGAACCCGTGGGCTCAGGCAATTCACTCACCTCAGCCTCCCAAAGCGCGGGATTACAGGCTGAGCCACCGAGCCCAGCTGTGTATCTTTTTTAAAAGGAAAAACATGTGTCACAGTTGATTTTTTTCTGAATGTAGCAGCAGAGTCCAAGTGCGCCCTGGGTTTGGGAACCCGGTGAACCAGGACAGAAAGGCTCTGATTCTCCTGGTTGTTGGTGTTGCCAGGGCTGGACCAGGCTCCACTTAGTGATTAGGGGACCAGCAAGTGAGGAGAAAAGTACGCCTCACCTGCTGGGGCCGGACTCTTGGGATGACAGTAGAGAGAATCACCCTGTCCAGAGAGCAGCCTGCATGCCACAGCCTCCCCTGCTCTGCTCTGAGGTACCCTCAGGCCATCCTTCTCCACCTGTCTTGGCTGGCATTGTCGCCCGCTCTTGTCATCTCTCCCTGTCGCTGCGCCCTCCTCCCAGGTGCCTGCAGTGCTTGGAGGTTCCCAGCCCTCATCCCCTCCACACCCTGGGCCAGGGGTGCTCAGTGGCTGCTGCCACGACACAGCTCTGTGTTTCAGAAACAGAAACTGGAAAGTATGTATCTTCACGGGCAACCTCCTGGCAACTGCAGACAAAAGCTTTGTATGCTCCTCTCAAAAGACCCAGGCCTTGCACTGAAGTGGCAGGCGGCAGTCCCCGTCTCCTCCCCTCACTGCAGACAGGGTCAGCCGGGGTGTCTCAGACTCCCATGCCATCAGAGCCACGGCTGCCCTGAAAGCAGCCTCCCAGGACTCCCGACCTCTTGTGACTGGGGCCCCAGATGTCATCCAGACTGCAGGTCACCTCACGGCCTGGGGGACATCATGCGGTGCGGCTGTGTCTCCCTAGTGCACACCTGGGGTCAGCTGCTTGTCATCCCCTGCCTCTCGAGGGTCATCCAGTTAATGTCCCAGTGCCCCGGGCTGGACTGGGTTCCACTTCACACATGAGGGTGCCGTTCAGCCCATCGCTCTTGTCTACCTTGGGGTCTGATTTAAAGAGAAATCACCAGGAACCTCCTAGTGTAGAAAACACGTATGTCATGCACCACCGCTGTGCTCCAAGTGGCTTGGCGTCTGCTGTCTGTCATGCTTCAGTTCTTGGCCTGTTTCACTGTGCCTGTTTCCTCAGGGGCTCCAGTTGATGTCTGCGCTTTCACCATGCTTACCTCTGACCCAACAGGGCCTCCCTTCTATGTCACTGTCACAGCCATCTCCCTTGTACAGTCTTTCCTCCTTACCCTGATCTTGGAAGCCCAGGACAGGCAGGGACAGTCACAACTTGCACTGCCCCATATTTTGGTGGCCGGCTGTTAACACAGAGGACCAGCATGGCACTAGAAATCCCCATTACCTGTTTGTCGTGGGTGGGCAGCAGGGCCCAGGAGCTGCCCTGCTGGCCAGAAACCTGGCTGTCACTTCCCAGGGTGTGACAAGCACAGAAGCTGGGCCTGTGTGCACAGCACAGGGCTTGGCAGCCGCAGAAACCACTCTGCGGGCATCAGGAGGACCAGGAGAGTGGGCGAGTCTGGCCGGGAGATAGGGCCACCCCCTCCCCAGTGGCCCCCACGCTGCTGGGCTCCAACCAGGAATACATAGTCCTTGCCTTAAATTGGAACCAGCAAAGGCTTGGACACGTGGAGTCCACTGTGTCAGCCCAGGAGCTGGGGTCTGGGCTGGAATGGCCACGTTACTGTTTATGAAATAAGAAACGGATGTGTTCTAACTCTGGGAGTTACGAGCATTTGAACCACCTAGCTCCCACTTGTTCTGGGGGCTTCTGGATGCTGTTTCTCTGGCATCACTCCTTGCGCCTGGCCCCACTTGCCCCAGTATCTCAGGAGCGGCCAACCTCTGCGTCGAGAAGCCTCTGCCCTAGCGACTGTCCCGCATTTCCATCTGATGGCATGGTTTGGAGGTGACCCCTGAACACACTGCCGCTATTCGGCTTATTCTGGCCCAGGCAGATCCAGCCCAACATCTGAGCTGTTGGGTCCCTGCTGCACTCAGGCCCAGGCAGAGTTTACTCCCTCACAGTCCCGCCCAGGTCTGCTCTGGGCCTTCAGCCACAGCAGCTCTCGCAGGCCAGAAGTCCCACCCTCAGCCATGTGGGCAAGGGCACACCTGGGAGTGGCCCAGTGACTGCCAGCAAGGCTCCTTCCTGGCGCAAGCTGCATCTCTGAGCTCCTCCTGTTTTCCTGGGAGGGCTGCCTAGCAGACTCCTTATGGGTAAGTCTTTCCAGGCGGTTTCTGTCTTGAACCGGGTTTTGCGATCTCTCGTGTCTTCCTGAACATTGGCCGTTTTCAACTAGAGCTTTATTGGGAATCGATGCGGAAGAGCAAAATATACACTGGTCAGAGCCTAGGTACCTGCTAGAGGAGGTAATTAAATTAAATTATGATAAATATGTCAGATGAGTAACGGGTTCTGTTTTTAATTTAAGAAAGTACTTCCGTAATAAGTGGGAAAAAAGCGAGACACAAACTGTATCTGCACTGTGTTCATTACTATGATAGAAACCAGAAGACAGGAAAGAAAACAACAAAATATTACCACTGGTTATCTTGAAGCAATGGAACAGCAGGTGATTTTTCTCTTTTCTGCAAATCCTTATTTTCTGCAGTGAACATGTATTAACTTTTATCATTAGAAAAGTTTTTTTAAATGTTAAATCTTAGTTCAAGAAAAATATATCAAGGAAAGGGAGCAGGGGGATTCTTCAGATTCGCTGTGGGGCGGCTGCCCGAGTCTTCACCACGTGAAAGTGTTCTGGTTTCTAACCTGTTGCTGCAGATACTCTGTTAGTGTTTGGAGAGCATGGAAAGTTCTTTCCTTTCTTTGTGTCCCTCTCTCTCATGGCCTCCTCAGTGTCAGGCTTCATAATATTTGATGCACTGAGTTGGAGGCATGTGTGTTCTGTATTTTTCTGAGCGGGGCCAAGGCCCCTGAGCTGCCAAGCTGTGTGGTGGTGGTGGCAGAGGGGTGCCCTGTGGGGAGCTCCCTCAAGAACCCGCCAAGCACACCTCAGGTCCGGGCACTGCACACGTACTAACCAGCCGAGCTGGAGGCACAGTGCCCGTTGGAGCCAGGATAAATATTTGTGATTTGTTTTGATTCGGACTGGGGAAGACTTGGAGCCCTGCGGCATCCCCTCATCTGCGGTGCCGTGCATGCTCGTGATTGAAGAGCTCTGTTTTTCTGGGAGGGATGGCTCCTGAGTGTTCTGTGTCTGTAGTGACTGCAGCCGACAGGGAGGCGGTGCCATAGGAGCCACCAGAGGACCTCCTCATCCCCCGCTCTGGTTTACACTAGAAAACGAATACGGGGAAACAGCCACCCTAGGAAATGCCTTTCTTAAAAATGGGCTCCTTTTTTCCAGGTTTGATCAGTTGTCATTGTTTTTAAGTAGGAAGGGACACTGGCCACTAGCCATGGGTTATCCTGGTCAGATTTGGGTCCAGATCTCCCTGTAGGAGAGAAGGCTGTCACTTCTCAGGGTGTGATAAACACAGACAAATACAGGGGCCCTGGGGATTGTAACTTATGCTGTTATTTTCCATTTTGTGTCTTCATTATGGGGCCACTTTCCTGCCCCCCAGCATCTTGCCCAGCAGATGAGTTTCTGGACTTGATGCAGTGGTTCCTCCTGCAGCCTGGGTAGCCTCATCCTTCACCAAAATGTCACCTCCATTAATTAATTCAGTGGACATGAGACAGATCCATCATCGGTCCATGAGTCCTGGCGCAGGAGTCTGTGAGCGATTAGCATCTCCACGCCTGCCACAGCCCCACCCCCATGTGGAAAAGCAGGCGGGGAGGACTCGCCGTCTCTCCCACATGGTGGCCATGGCTGACCTGCATCCTCTCACACCCTGCACTAAGGGAGGTGGACAGCACAGCACAAGATTCCACATCTGTTTATGTCCAGCTAGCGAAGCTCCATTCCCCAGCCCTCCACTCGGGAGCTTCAGGAGAGAAGGGGCCCCCGCAGGGCAGCCTGGTGCCCCTTCCCCTGTGGCCAGGCCCGTGCAGTGGGTCCTAATTTAACCTCCTGGTTCCTGTCCCAGTGCTGCGGATCACTGCAGCAGCCCATGGGGTTGGCAGAAGAGCTGACCTCTCACCTCTCTCCTCTCCCCCGCTCTGGCCTGCAGGTGTTTAAGGAGCTGTGGAGAAGTGAAGGGAAGACTCCCATGCAGATTGTGTCAGAAAAGCAGCTTGAACTGATGCAGGACCGAGAGGCACTGGAGCAACTCTGCCAGTCTGTGATGGAGGGACATCCTCAAGTGGTGACTATCATGGACAGGGGAGGCCAGGACACAGCCAGGAGCCCTGCCACCGCTCCGTGGCGGCCCAGAGGCTCTTCCTGATAAAGACTGGCCCCGTTGCATTAATAATTCCCTAATTACTTCTGTCAGCTTTTTAGTTAAGGTCAAAAGAGATGAAACTGGGTGAGCACTGGAAAAACACAGCTTCTTTTTCTGTAAGGAAAATTCCACCCCTGGAGTTACTCTCCACGGAGGTGTCTTTTAAAAGGGATATCAGCATCTCCCAGGCACCCGCCTCTCCCGGTGGGCATTGTGAATCCCTCGTGGCTCGCTCCACCTCGCAAGGACCTCTCAACAATAAACCAGCAGGCATGGCTGCAGGGGGGACGGGAGGGAAGCCTCCCGCCTTTGAGACGTGGGGAGAAAGGCAGAAAGGAAAAGTATTTATAAACTGGAGAAAATGCTTGACAGGAGCATGGCTGAAAACCAGGTCATTCTGTGTTTCCAGCACAGCACAAGGCAGGAAAGCTGAACCGAGTGGCATCTCTCCCTCCCACGTCTAATCATACTGTCTAGAGGGACTTTTCAGCGGGGGGAAAAACTGTTAGCATCTCTTTCAAAATAATGCCCAGCCACCCATCAGCTTGCCGGGACACTAAGAGCTCTGTAAAGAGCTCTTGATAAGGGAAATGAGCCTGTACTGGGTCTCGCAATCTCCATCTTCCTGCTTCAGCCATGTGACTGATAAAGACATGCGTTGGTTTCAGCTGCTCTGTGGCACTGAAAGCAGAGACACACGCTATTGCCACGGGGCACTTGGAGCCAGGCAGGTGGGTGGCCCTGACAGAGGCAGTTTGATCGGAATTCAGCGCCTCCTGCCCTTGTCAGCTCCACACAAGTGCTTGGATGAGGTGCCATTGGTCAATTCCAATACAGGGATCTTCTTAGCAGGGCCTGGGGAAGGAACGCTGGGCATCTTGGCGAGGACCAAGCATCACTGGAGGACCAGGGAGGCAGATGTGCTGATGAAGCATCTCAGAGAGGCTGTTGGCTCACATGACTTTGTGTCCTCCTGTCATCGTGGCACCCAGAGGAGAGTGTCCTGGCTCCTGCATGCCAACTTCTCTAGCTGTCGGCAGTCACTTGGTGCTCATTTTGATCAGAAGGCACAGAGCAAAACTGCCTTTGACAGGAGCCTGGAAACCTCCTCCTCCTCGTCAGCCCCTGCTTCCTTTCCTGTCTTATATCTAACACTAATGGAAGGAAGAAACTGAACTGAATTTTCAGTAAAGCCTCACTTTAGGACGCGTAGGGATGAGTCTCTTTATTTTCCTCACTTAAACAGTGTCCTCTCTCTACAGGTAATGGATGTGAAGAAGGGAAACTCCAGGGCTCTAAATAAGCTGATTGGGTTGGTCCGGAGAGCCACTCTGAGCCGAGCGGATCCCGCGATGATAAAGGAAATACTGGAGAAGCAGCTGTCACCGTGAAACCACCGGAGAACAGTGCAACCCGGGCAGGGACAGGAATCTGTGGAACCTGAAGTCCGCGTGCCCTGAGCACTGGCCTCTCAGCCCCAGCCAAGCCACGCCTTCTGTGAGGTTCTCATCCTCTGGGGCCTAGCCAGGGAGGCCACCTCTACAGCAGCCCGGCAGCCATGCCTGCCTGCTCTGTCCACAAAAAGGGATCCCACAATGGCTGCAGCAACAGCGGCCAACGAGTAATGCCTTCTTGTGTTTAGTACTTCTAAACTAAATAAAACGTGTACTTCAAACACTGTTCCCATTCTAGGAAAACTTTGCATCCTGCAGTTCCTTCAACACCTATTTTTGAGCCCTTCCTCAGGGCCGGCTGCTGTTCTGGGTGCTAGGTGTTAGCAGTGGTTGAGATTGTAATTTGGATGTAGTGTATTTAGATCTAGACTAGGTCAGTGAAGATGAAAACACAAATAACTGGCACAGTGTAAACACATGTTTGTTTAGGGAGGCCCAGAAGGATGACAGAGGACATCGTTACTTGTATGAAGTGTCAGTAGGCATCGGTCCATCAACTGACCACAAGTGATACAACCCAGTCAACTCCCTGCTGATCCCAGAAGGTAAAGGTCTGAGAATAAATGAATGTTTTAGGTTTTGAGAAAAAAGCAGAAGTTTTCAAATAAATTTAATGAATAAAATATATACCGAAATATCACATAAAAAATTAACTTACACTTCAAAGATTGTGCAGTTGACAACTCCCCCCAACCCTCAGGCCAAAAAAGATAAAACAAAACAGAAAAGAAAAAAGCTGGAACATTAAATTGATTTGTTTTGCTTGGAAAGAATAAGATGATAAACTAGTGAATCAGAACCTTGACCTTTAACAATACTCGAGGTGCAGTTGCGGCATCACTGTGGAGACTGGGGTTGCTTGCGCTCCTGTTCTCGTGACAGTGACACCACCTCTGTTGCACCCTTTGTGCAGTGCATGCCTTTGTCACCTCTTACTCAAAACACTTACTTTAAAGACCAGTTTTTCAAATGCTGTTTTCTAAAAGCATTTATAAAGCATACTTGTCAAACTGACATCAGAGAACAAAATCCTTGGAGGCACCAGTTCAGAGCTGTGAATTCTCTACCTTCCGAAAACAATAAAAACACTTTTGCTGTGAACACTGCCCTGGTGGCAGCTGGGGACTGGAGAAGAGTGGCCACTCCTCCATCACTGGTCCAGTGACTTGTGCTTCCTGGCTTGGACAGTTACTCAGGGCTTCCCTAAGAGTGCTGAGGAAGGTGCCCTGCCCAGCCTTTCTCAAAGCAGGGAGAGAGAGGAAACCTACTATGTGGTTTATTTCAGACATGCATGGGGAGGTGATTTTTTTAAAAAACTAACATTTTAGAAAAGTAGTGACAGAAGTGTAAGAGAACATGTTGCCTCACCCAGGAAGACAGGTGTCCCCCCATAATGCTGCAGTCCTGAAAGCTGCTGGGTCTCAAAGTAAAACTATTTGCACTAAACCTCTCTACAAGAGAAAGGTCAAATCAGTTCTCTCTTGCTCTGAATTACAAATGGGCAAAGGTGGTCTAGAAATTGGAATCTGGCAGGATCTGTATTTTGTAAAAAATAATACGATTCAGTTGTGTTTTATGAATTTTATTTTCACCCAGAGTTCTATCTTCTTGGTGATTAAACCTTACAGAAAGTACTGAAGGGTCTTTCCAGACCATTTAAAATTAAGGGCTCACTTAAATGGGCGAGCAGCCAGTTTATCAAATACCCAAACTGTTATGTCAAGTGGAAACGGTATTATGCACTGATTATTCCCAAAGGAAAATGTTGTTGTTAAAACACTTGGTCTCACAGGCTGATGCTCATCTAGCTCTGATAGTTGCTTGCTGTCTTGAATGCCAGCTTCTGAAATCCTGAAAACCAGACTTTGTTGCTACGAGGAAAAACCAAAGCACAGCTCTGATGGGAGCCTGACATTTGAAAGATAAGTTTACATATACCCTAAGAAGTTCACAAAGTATGGCTTTGCTCACAAAGGGGCCTTAGCGAAATGCAACTTGATGTTCTTGCATCGAATGTGAATTTAGTCTCATTTGCTGGTTCACTATTCAGAGGGAAATCTCATTAAAATGCATGAGTTGGCACCACAGGTATAGCCACTTCCGTCTGTCACCAGAACCCACACACCTGTAGGCTGGTTGTATAATGCCCCGGCCCTGACTGGAAGGGGAATATGCTAGAAAACTGGGTGTAGCCATTTTTATGAAACACTTTATTGCAGGACAGCTATTACTGCACGTGCTGCTTCACATCACTGGCCCAGGCTGGCTTGAACCAGCTCTATCTGGTCAGGCCCAAACCGTGCGTTCCATTGCTTGAGAGATGGCTGGCTGGCTCTGGCAGGAGGTGGGAACATTGACCCCACACTCAGCACGCCACTCAGCACAGAGGAAGGATGCAATAAACGTTCCTTTCCGAAATGAAAGGAATTGATGGACAGCATTTTGTGGGGCCCTTTTGTAAGAGACACAGCTGCTAGTCTTGTACACTCTGGGTCATTTGGGGCTAGAAAGGGACTCTTTATCTCTGTCCAGACTTGTGCATCAAAGTGAAATTGTGTTCCTATTTTTCAAGGTGTAGATGGCCTAGCCAAAGAACTTAGATCATTACTATACCAAGGTAAAGATATTTTAGCTGAGCTTCTCTCCCTGCCTCCTTATCATGATTGTTTCTTGTCATTATATAATATGCATATATTATGTATTTGTATTATAATTAAGACATTTTTGCAAATACACACCTCCCTTCTGCTTTGAGTTGGTTAATTTAGCGTATAGCTTATGGCCATGACCCACAATGTGTATACTGTATTTTTTATTTCAACTGCATTGTTTCAAGGTTTCTACATAGTGATTATTGGAAAAAACCCACCAAATCTCTCTGAAAGGCCATATTATTTACCCATTCCCAAAAGCAGCTAGACATGGCTGTCGTTCTTCCTCAGCGGGTTTGAGACAAACACTTCCCTGGGCTATTTGCGAACCAAGCGGACCCTAGATGAGGAGGCGGAGGTATCTGGTTGAAACCCTCTCTTATTGCCTCCCCTAGCCCAGCAGCTTAGCAAAAGCTGTGTAAGTAAGATTGTCAACACCAAATTCCCTCTCTTAAGATATCTGCAGGGCAAAAGAGGACCTTGTTATAGGTGGGCCTTTGTAGCCTTGTCCCAAATAAAAAGTCGGCTGACACTCTAAGAAGCCCTGACTTCTGCAGCCTCAGCTCCATGAAATTGATAATCTGCCTAGAAGCTTCCATCACCTTTGTCAGGTTCTAAAATGATACAGTAAATCTCAGCTCCCCAAAAGATGCATGAAGTGCATCTGGAACTCATGCTGACAATCCTGCTGGCAGTCTTGTTACTTGTGCAGGGGACAGTGAATTTGGTTTAAATTCAATCTTTTAAGACAGGAACAAAATCCACAGTGACCCAGCAGGATAGGAGAGGTCAATCCTAGCAAAAATCATGATCAGTTTTAGGATTCCAAGCGCAAGACGCCAAGGAACGGAAGGCTTCCCCCACTTTGTCCTGGCCCTTCTTCTCCCAAAAGAACCTCACAGAAAATCTTTGACTAAAGCCCTGTTTATCCAGTTAATGAGCTGCCAGGATAATCTGTCCTCCCCAAACAAGTAATGGCCTCATAAATGCCTGAATGTGGAGAGGATTTACTGAGGCAAAATTATCCTAAAAACCATTCTCAGTCTTCTGAGAGCTCTTTCTAAAGCATTAGGTTTATGATGGCCATTCAAAAAGAAAAAAGAGTCAACTCCATTCTCTGAAGATGTTTCCTCAGTGATGTGATTTAAGAGTGGAATATACACTGGCTTGACAGCGCTCTGTTTTAAGCTATTATTTGATGGAGAATTAGTGTTGTGTGATTTATAGACTGATGACTGAAGCAACAAGGGACCTAGATTATCTTCTTAATGACTCAGAGCTGACGTGTCAGTTACAAGAGGACGGCCATTTCCAGGAAGAGCCCACGTGGCAACACGGGCTGAGGTTCATGGCAAACCACACAGGACACGGGCCTGGGCCAGTGACATGAAGCCGTATGTGCAATAATAGCTGTCCTGCAATAAAGTGTTTCATAAAAATGTAAGCATGACAGCCACCTCAGTAAATACAGGGCTGGTAATTAGCAATTAAGCTGAATACACTTAAATGAGAACTGAAGCATATGCAGACATTTAACATCGCACCACTGACAAGTCCAGCCCCTGCTGAGGCAACTTCCCGCCCGAAGGCAGCCCCGACACACGAAGCCAGATCCAGAAGAGCTGCCCAGCCGCAAGCCAGAGGCCCTGCACACCCCTGGAATCAACCCACATGACCGCTGCGGCCAAGGCCGGGCAGAGGCATCGCCAAGGACTTTCAGCCCTGAGTACCACCAGCAGCTGCCCACATTCCACGGGCAACCTGAATAGTCACGATGCTCTTTCTAGATTCCAGTCATCAGAGGATGCTTTCCTGACAACACCTTGGCTCCGCGATGTCTCGATGGATTGAAAACCAACAACTATATCCAAAGGGACCCCTGAGGACCTGCAGAAATACTGAATGTGTCCTCCCTGTGTGACAGGGACATCAACATGACTCCAAAATTCCTCCAGAAACCAGGGACTGGAGCAGGCTAAAGAAAATCACGTCTCTAATTGGTCATTCAAGCACCCCATTTCATGGCTGGGAAACTGTATTCTACCAGCCTCGAAATCATGTTTTAGGCTGAACCTAACCTGGAAATTCTTTGTTAAAAATTTAAAAACATTTACTCGGCCATTTCCAAAAATCAATTTTAAATATCCCAGCGCTCTCATATGTTTTGAACCACAAAAGTCACTCAGCTGAGAACTTTAAGTCAGACTCTGAGTTATGAATTGAGGTTAATGCTGTGATGTTCCGGGAACCCCTGCCTCAGTCGCCTTTGCTGCCCAGGACCGTTGGGCTAGACACGGTGATGCCAGCCCAGGGGCTGCACTAGAGGGTTCTCTCTTTCCAGCAAGTTATACAGTATCCGATGGGGAGCCTGTCACATGGAAAGAGGGCCACACTCTTAGGCCACATTTTGAAGCATGCCAAGTATCTAACAATGTTCCCCCATACTCATTACAAAACAATATAATTCTAAGGCCCTCCGCACCTGTTTACTTTAGGACTGGAAGAGTCTTCAGGATACTGATTTTTTTCCCTGCCCACTATATGGCATCTTCAGCTCTGCCAGCGGATCTTCCAGGATTCGCTTTTCTCATACCTCAGCCTCAGGCCCCCGCCTGTCTCTTGGCCGGTCCACGCCATCCCCTGGATAACCCACTCCCAGCTACTTCACTCAGCCACATGGGTTTCTCAATTCTCTACACTACATTTCCACGTCATTTTGCAAAACCCTGGACAGAACTCTCTGGAGGAAGACTGAGATGGACTCAGAAGCATGAACCAGTTTCCAATTCTAAAGGGGATGTCAGAGAGGGTCAGCGTGTCAGCTTGCTGCCAGCACCCACCGTGGGAAATTAAATGTCCCTGCCTGTCCCTGCTGGTCATCTCTGGCCTCCTTTTAAGTAAGTCTACTTCTGTACCTGCTGGAAAAAAAAAAAAAAAACGAAGCACAAAATCAAGCTCTTTCCCAAAGGGCACCTTCCACAAAAGGGACCATGGTGTTCTAAAATAAAGAAATACGAACTCAAGAAGAATCACCACCCCACCAGATAGCAGAGAGAGGCCTCAAACCAACGAGTGAGAGATGACAGTGCCCAGATGAGGCTTTAGCATTTTGTGACTGGTAAGTCCAAACAAAAAGATAAATACATGTGCAAAACAATATTACAGGATAATAAATTGTAGCTTAAATTCCCTCTCCAATGGCTCCTCTGTCTACCTTAAGCTCCCTTCTGTCCTGATGGAGACCCGTGGGCTGTGACATACAGCCAGGCGTCAGGAAGACCACACAGGCTGCCTGCGGCACCTCGTCCCTCCAGCCGTGGTGTCACCCACAGCTGAGCCAGCCACCGTTCAAGACAAGCAAGTGTGTGAGGAATAGGTATCTTTGGCTTCTTGCTTAGACTTGAAATATGCTGGGGCTGGCTCCTGGCGGCTCCCCCAGCCTGGGCAGGTATCCTGGCGCCTTCACTCCACAGCCTGCTCGCAGACTCTCTATCCAAAGCTGCCGCCAGGTTTCTGTAACACAAAAGGCTGCCTGGGCTCTGCAGTGTCGCTGGACAATTCCTTCCTCCACTCCCCGTTCTGTGCACAGGGCCTGGAAAATACCAAACCAGTCCTCCTGGGCCACAGCCACCAGAGCGATGGTAGCCCTCGGGGCTCTGCAGAGACCCCGCCAAGAGAGCCAGGCCTCCCCATTTCCCTCCAGACAGAGAGGCACTTGTGACTCACCTGCAGAACTGAGCCCAAAAGGGAGGGAGTGGAATTTCCTATCAGTGTCAGTTGTTGATGGTCTCTTTTTTAGTCCACAATTAAGCTGTGTGATTCCCTTTGGTGGCAGCCTAACGCGGCTGTGCTGTGAGCAGTCATGCCTCTTGGACCAGGTAGAGAGCAGCAGAGGGGCACACACCCCACACACGGGGCCTCCGGGTAAGCCCAAAACTCAGAGGCGGCCCCTCCATGTGGGGTGAGGCCCAGCAGGGCTCCCCATATCACACCCCAGCTCTCACAGTGGGCTGTGCAGTCCATGACTCTCCAGGGAGTGCAACATGATAGCAAAAGCAAACTGAATTGTAAATGATGACCAGTGTTTTCACGAAGCTGCGTTTAGTTGACTGGTGTACCCTGCCAGCTCCAGGATCTCCCTGAAAAATCCCACCATGAAATGGCTTCATGAGTTAAATCTGTTTTCATAAAATACTTAAAAAATAATGATGGTTGTCTTCTTATATAAGTATATGATACCACACTTTCTCCATCTGATCCATCAAACTCCTAAAAGCCAAAGTAACAGTTTGCATAGGTATACTTAATCTTGTGCAGATCTTACTAAATAAGGCTGTCTTCAGTGTTTTGGTGGCGTCAGCTCTCTAGCAACAGGAAAAATTCCCTGTGTTCCAAATCTTCTCCAGCTTCATCTGACTTTCCAGGCAGACAGGTGAGCTGCTGACTTTGCCTGCACCATAAGGCAACACGCGTTGGGCAGAATCCAAATCCTGGGAGTAGAACTCAAAGGGACATATGACATGTGCTTCTGTGGCGGAGGAGAGGGGCGCCATCTTTATCCTCCTGTTTTGGGAAATGGAAGCCACAATGCAGAAGGCAGCGGGAGCCCGGCCTTCTGACATGGGGCGCTTCCAGAAATCACTGAACCCCAGTATTTGTTTGGTGTGATCTGAGCCACAAGATGAGTGACTCAAAGGGATAGGAGAAAACCAAAAAATGCCAAGAGGAAAAACTGAGCAAAGCGAACCGCCAAGAGAGTCATCAGCTTATGAGACTTACATTCTCTATAACGTAAGGTGGGAAGGCCCGGCTACAGAGAGGAGACACATAGAAAATTCCCCTCCCACAAATCAAGTATCGTCAGGAAACATCAAAGTAGAAATTTTTGTAAGCAGCTTTGCATTTAACATTCAGTCAAGACACTAAGACCTTATGAAACAAGACCGTCTATTAAAAAAACTAACAACAGGAGTCCTCGAAATCGCCGAGGACGTTGTAGCATAGAATGGAGTGTTCCTGGGCCAAGGCTGCCAGCTCCTTCAGGAACTCCGGAAAGAGGGCGGCGGCCAGCATGGGGTTCCTCACCGGCAGAGGCAGGTTTGGGGGGGCCTCAGCCACCTTGACTCTGTGTGCCAGGAAGGGCTGAAGCACTCGTGGAGGTCCGTCCAAAAGGGTCTTGCTGCTTCCTGTCTGAGAAGCCTCCTGGATGAGATCTGAAACAAGAGAGAAGACCCATGATGGCGCCCCTCGCAGCCCCTCCATCCCCCTCAAGTGACGTGTGTGAGTGCTGGGGGTTGGCTGCTAGAAGGCGTTGGTTGGGGCGCAGTTCCTCTGACTGTATCCTTGAGTATGCCGTGACACACGTGTTCACCCAACAGATCACCTCTAGCATGGAGCATGTGATATGAGACTTTGGCCCAAAATCTTGTGTTAAGGAACTCTGTACAGCAATCATGGCAAGAATGTAAGTTTGTCAAGAGCCCTTCAGGACCAGAATGTGAGGAAGGGGGAAAGTGAAAAAGGCACCTCCTGCCACTAACATCAACCGTGAGAAGACCCAGCTCATCGGGTGCTTATTCGGGGCGAAGGGTAGTCCCAGCTGCTCTCCCAACCCCCCAGTGCTGGTGACTGTCCTCCCTCAGCCAGGTAAGCCCTGATCACACAGTGTGCCCAGACCTGGGAGGCAGGGTTACATAAGCCACTCCAAGCTCTCTATGTACTCAAGCCTCTAGGGCTCCCTGGTGCCCCCGGGACTGATTCCTTTTGATCAGCAGTAATAATGGAGAGGAAGTTGGCTGGGAAGACCAGACCAAGAACTTCCTGCAACCTTGGGGACCTAGTGGCAGCAAATGGCTTGGGAACCGCCACGGAAGGAGGGTTTCCAGGGGTTTCCATCTCAATTTCCAAAACATAGGTCTGGGATGCTAAGAGCCCAAATTTAAACTCATTCAAATGGTTTGCATTTTCATATCAAATCAGCTTTTACTAATTAAAATGGTTCAAGTTCCCCAACTACTTAATTCCCAAATGCCACCAGCCCTCACATATTCACAGGAATGACATGCGCTTTCCTCTGCCCCTACAAGAATGGCCTCATCCCTACACATTCAGACTCTTCATTATCTTGGCTGCTTTTTAGAATTCAGTACCATTTTCGAGCACTCTTCTCAGAGTGTTGCTTAACCAGAGTACTAAAAATTCTTGACATTTATAGTACTTTCCACAACTCACTACTATAGTCTTCAGTGTTTTAAAAAAAAACCCAAAATTTATATTTTACTGCTTTAGATATTCTCTTAGATTAAGGCTCATCACAGCTTTAATGCCATGAAGAACTGGAAACATTGGTGAAGAACTGTCTTCTGCTACCTTTCAGCAGAAACTCACAATGTGCCGGACAACGGAGCCAGGACAAAGGTATTCATGTCACCGAGGCACATGTGAACCTTAGTGTTGGAGGGGAGACCACCCCATTCCGCCCCCCTGCCCTGGCCTTCAAGCCCTGGAGCTCTCCAAAGGACCCGGCAAAGCTCACCAAGAAGCTGGCCTGTGTGCTCATGGGGAATGAGACGCTTGTGGGCGCCACTCCCAGACCAAGACCTGCATTGTTCACGCTGGTTACTCGACCCAGAGCTCCTTTCCTGGTGTCTGACTGGCTGTAAGAGGCACCCGTACAGTGGTGAGGAGCACCGACTCTGCCACTTGCTGGCTGAGTAACTTTAGGCAAGTTGCTTTACCTCTCTGGACTTCGATTTCCTCACCTGTCAAAAGTTCATCGAGTTGTTGTAAGGATTAAATGAGTTGACAGGTATAAAGTACACAGGGGCCAGTGTGGTGGCTCACGCCTATACTACCAGCACACTTTGGCAGGTCAAGGCGGGAGGATTGCTTGAACCCAGGAATTCAAGGCTCCCCTAGAGAACATAGCGAGACCCCCATCTCTACAATAAATATAAAAATTAGCCAGGTGTTGTGGTGCCTACCTGTAGTCCCAGACACTCACGAGGCTGAGGCGGAAGGATCACTTGAGCCCAGGAGGTCGAGACTGCTGTGAGGCATGATCATGCCACTGTACTCCAGCCTGGGCAACAGAGTGAGACCTACCCCACTCAAAAATAAAATTAAAAAATGAAGTGCACAGGGACCTCTGAACAGGTGTCTGCCACTGCATCATCAGTGCAGCCACTGCCCTCACAACGCCTGTCTACCTTCCTGCCCCCGTCCCCTGGTCTGGCTCCCACCCCATGCAGCGACCACCGGAGGCCTGTACTGCCTGCAGCCCTACGCTGCCATTCACATTTTATCTCCGCTATGAGACCCTGGGCTTTCCTGGCCCCCTGCTGATCATGTCTTTAGTAACCCCCAGCACATCTCTCTGTCCACAGGAGAGGCGCGTACACATTTGCGGAATGAATGAGTGATGCAAATGACCTCATTGGTCTTACTGCTCCCAAGGTTCCCAGAGCTGCTCTCTTCCCTGTCTCCACCATTCTCTCAGATCCACTCCTTCTCTCCTCCCCACAACAGGTTTTTGTGGCTCATTTATCTAGCTCGATCCGTGAATAAAAAAAGTCATTGCGCAGGCCCATTTACCAAGCAGGAATCCAAGAACCAAAACTGTCTTCAGGTTGAAGACAGCCCCCAGCACCAGAGACCATGAGCCAGCAAGGGTCCTGGCCTTTCGGTGTGTCACCAAGCACGAAGCTTTTGATTCAAAGTAAGCAGACCTAGCCAGGCACGGTGGCTCATGCCTGCAATCCCAGCACTTTGGGAGGTGGAGGCAAGAGGATTGCCTGAGTCCTGGGGTTCAAGACCAGCCTGGGCAACTTGGCAAGACCCTGTCTCTACCATTAATCAAAAAATTAGCCAGGCATGATGGTACGCACCTGTAGTTCCAGCTGCTTGGGAGGCAGAGGTGGAAGAATGGCCTGAGCCCAGCAGGTTGAAGCTGTGGTGGCTGTGAGCATGCCATTGCACTCCAATCTGGGCAACAGAGTGAGACTCCAACTCAAAAAAAAAAAAGGCAAGCAGACCCGAGACATGGTCCCTACCTGGTCACCAGCTCATCATACAAGGTCTCAGTTTCCGTCCCCTGTAAATTGGAGTTATTACCTACCTGACCTTCCTTCTAGAATAGAGGCCAGTGAGAGGACTCTAAATGTAAGTACAACTGTTACTCTGTAGCTTGCAAAATATTTGAGGAGAAGAAGAAAAGGCTGGCAGTAACTGGACCTCAGAGAATGATGTAGCAGCTGGCAACAGGACAATCACACAGACTTGTTCTCTCCTGGAGGCATTTGTGAGGTGGCTGGTTTTTCAGTGGGGCTGCCAGGAGGCCAGGGCAGGCAGCACCTGTGTGGTAGAGCAACTCTGGCTGTGGGTGCTGAGTGATGCCCTCATAAAGGGACAAGCTCACACAGCACCTGAGAGGCAGTGGAAGGGCCGTGTAAACACGTGTCGGGATTAGGAAGCATTTCTGAAATGGTGCCCTGGATCTGCAGAGCTGCACCAGGTTTTCAAGACCAGTCCTGGGGAGTTGCCAAAGGGAGGAGAGGTGCCTGCCACAGTGCACCTCCCTAGCAGCAGTGTGAGGCACAGGGCACAGTGTGCAGGTTCTGGAAGCCCATCCATCTGGGCCGTCACAGGAGCCTTCACTGGAACCTGCCCTGTGTCCCCGGAGGACAGGGCTCCCAGATCTGACACATTCACAGGCAGCCGTGTCAGTAAATGCTTCTAAAGTCAGCTTTGAGCAACAGGACAAGAAGCTTTCTCCTTCTGTGAGTTTAGAGGTTTGTAAGTGGGGGGAGAGTGTCACTATACTAACTTGAAAAAAGGAAAGTTACTCTGAAAAGCTCAAGTAAAAGAAAGTTTTAAATCCCAAGAGAAGCTTCCCCATCAGTTGACACCCCTGGGTGTCGCAGACCTTACTTACAAAGCATCGGCCCCAGCTAATTTGACAGCCTTACTTGGAGAGAGCAAGTTCTCTGGGGCAAATATTTTGCAACCATGGCCGCCAGACAGTCTGAAGCCAGGACAAGCCCGACGTATGAGTGACCCCCAGTCCCAAAAGTGTTGGTCACAGCCCTGTGCACCATCTCCGAGAGGTTAGTCAGGATGTGTACCATCTCCTTGAATCAGGCAAGGTGCGCTCAGGCCCCTGGGCTTCATGGTCCTGGCTGGCTACGCTAGACCTCTCATTTTGGCCTCCTTCGATGAAAATGTAGCTAATGGCACCTTTCTTTTTGCTTGATAATATAAATCGACTGCCTGAAAAGTACTTTCGAAGTTGCAAAGCACAAATGGAGATCAGCCTGGAGTGCGATGTGGGAGACTGCAGTCCCTTCTGTCCTGGAGACTGCAAAGATGGCCGCGAACTATTGCTGCTCTTTCTATCAACAGGTGCTGTTTCAGCCCACTCTTGAATCTGCGCTGGCCCATGGCTTGCCTTGGCCACCAGAATGCAGCAGCGCTGACCTTGTGCAAGCTCTGAGTCTGCCTCAAGAGATTTTTCCATGCTCCTGCTCTGGCTCTTGGAACCTTGTAGCCATGACATACAACCTGCTGGATGGTAAGAAATACTCCAGCCGACAGCCACCGATGGGATTGAAGCCACCCTAGACATCCAGCACCCACTGATGGCAGACACAGGAGCATGTCCAGGCAAAACCAGCCTGGCCCAGATCAGCAAAGCATGTGTTTGACCACACAGACTCACAAGTGATTGTAAGTGACTTTGTTTGAAGCTGGTGAGCTTTGCAGTGTTCGTAATGTGCTTTCTCTTGGGGGGCTGGTCCCTGCTCAGGAGGAACCTGGCTGCACATTGACCTCCCGTGTGGCTAAGGAGGCCTCGTGGGGCCAAGGTTCAACTTTCCCCAGAGATGCAGAGGCCTCATTCCTCCCATAACAGGCTTGCCTGCTCTCTTCACCGTCTCACAGCTTCAAGCCTGGCCCCTGGTCTTACCAAGGCTCCCACCAAGGCCTTGATCATACACAGGTCAGGAAACAACAGTCATCACATCTGTCCAATCAGAGCTTCAATGAGGCAGAGCAGCGGAGCTCCCAGGTCTGTGGGCCAGCAGGACCCCCACTCTCCTCAGCTGCCCCTGCCCTCCCCGCCAAGCCCGAGGCCTCCAGAACTGATGAAAAGCCACTCTCGGGAGTTTTAGGCCCTGCATACCCTTGACTTCTCCCAGTCCAAACAAACCATTTTTTTTACCTCCTAGAGCCCTAATGCACATTTATCTTGGGCCCGAGAGCCTCTGATGACATAATAAAGAGGACAGATGCCCTCCTCAGGACAGGGCTGGCCAAAAAATAGCCCAGGAGTGTGTCCAATACCTCTTTCAGGCATGTGTGTGTGCTGCATTATTTATTCCAGCCTGATAACACCCCACATGTCAACTCCTTCGTGGAACCACTCACAGTTAGAAAACCAGACGCCTGCTGGACCCTCCAGACAGGGCACAGCCAGGTGTGCACAGGACAGAACTTTCTTTAGGTTTAAGGACACCAAAGGGGCTCCTCCCTGCTGGGTAAGAATGAAAATATCTTTGGGTGCAGCTCGGACCCAAGAGCCAGGACAGTGTCTGCAAACTCAAACCATCAGGCTGGGCAGTGGAAGATGCTACCGAGATACCTGGCTCACCTTTGGTTAGGGCCGCAGGGGCCATGTCAGACATGTCCACTCGGAAGAGCAAGTACTGCTGGGCTTGTATGAGAAGTCCCGGGAAGTCCCTCTCCACAGAAGCAAACTGCTCAATCTTGTTCTTCACAGACGCGAGGACCTGTCAAAGCAGCATTAATGATGCTCACACTTCACACTGGAATTCCACCCTCAGTTATCAATAGATCTTTCATGTACAGCCCTCATTATGGGAACTGTGAAGATATTAAGCATTTGCTCTTTTTGAACTGCCTGGGTAAGACACCCTCAAAACATCAAACTAAATGAAGCTTTGCAGTTTGTCTAGAATAATCTACACAGTCAGCTTAATGGGACAAGGAAGGCAGACAAATTAGAACAGAGGGATTTCTGAAAACCAGAACAGCAAGGGAAAAGAGAAGAAACCTCACAAATTAGCATCCACAAAACCAACAGGTATGGATGCGGGCTCAGCCAACACACCTGATAGAGAGAGCGGACGCTCGGCTGGAAGACCATGTTGGTGTTGAGCAGGAAGGAGCGCAGGAGAGGCTGGGGGTAGCTGGCTAGCTGAGTGATGATCCCGATCAGCAGCAAGTTGACATGCAGAGAGTTCTCCAGCATGTTCTCCAGCTTGGACAGGACCACGCTGATGAACGGGCCTGTGGGACAAACACAAGGCTTCAGGGTTGGCTGGGCTCACATGATGTCTTTCAATGACGGCAGAACCGCTGGAACCACAGCTTCCAGCCCAGCACAGGCCCACAGGTGCAAACCCACAGAAGCAAACACATCCAGCCCCCCAACCCCGCGCGCCAAGGACAACACAGAAAACAGACCACCCCAGCTAAACAGGAAAAGAAGCATGGAAACTCATCTGTTGACTCCACGAGTCGTTTTAATACCTATTAAAATCACCACAGCATATTAAAATATATGTTTCTATGTTGTTTCTGTATTTCTGGGGACTGCCAATGCTTAAAACATGGCAGTCATCATGTCATGAGGCCATGGGCTGTGGGGTTTCATGCTGACATGAGACTACTAAAAGTCTGGTTACACAAAGTCTTTGTATTATTAAAAAATACCAAATAAGCTGGGCTCAGTGGCTCAGCCTGTAATCCCGCGCCTTTGGGAGGCTGAGGTGAGTGGATTGCCTGAGCCCGTGGGTTCGAGACCCGCCTGGGCAGCGAGATCTCATCTCTACAATAAATCAAAAAATCAGCCGGGCATGGTAGCGCATGCCTGTAATTCCGGCTACTCGGAAGGCTGAGGCGGAAGGATCGCCGGAGCCCAGCAGGTCGAGGCTGCGGTGGCCAGGAGCGGCCACTGCACTCCAGTCTGGGCAACAGAGTGAGACTCCAACTCAAAAAAAATATATATATACCAAATATATTTTATACAAAGTATGTTTACCAAATAGCAACACTGCAATCAGGGGTTGTCTGTGCTGAACAAGCACCTTGAGAAAGATTTGGTTTTGTCACATGTCACAATGGAGAACAGTGAAAAAAGAGACTGATGAGAGGAAAATAACTCTAGTTACCTGGGCTGTAACTTTAGTAGCCCAGGCAACTGGCAACCACACTTGAACTTTCAGATGAGAGAGAGAAAGGAGAGATTCGGTTTCAGGAGATACAGTTTGGTGTGTCATAGATTTCTTTTAAAAAGGAAATTTATGCGACTATAAAAGCAGACATTAAAAAAGCAGTTCATCAACAAATTAGTCAGACAAAACCAATTCATAAAAAAAGTAAGCAAAAAATGAGATTCTGCTACTTTGGGTCACTAGAAAATTCATATGCTTTATGTCTGAGTTCATTAAAGGCAGAAAAAAACCAAAAGAAATAAATCTAGAATTAATAAAATTGCTTGAAGACATTTTAAATTTTCACCATAAAAGTGTTCCATTAAACAAAATCAATGAGCATGTTGTATTCCTTTCAGTGGAGCTATTGATGATGCCACGAAACCAGGGCATATTTATAGCAAAAGCATGTAACCCTGATGAATAAGTATGCCTTATGAAGACGTCACCACATTCATACAAGTTAAGCAAAGCATTCTCCATCACAGGGTGCTACCTCCAGAAGCCCTGGTGGGATAGGAGAAAAGCCCTCTTCAGGGAGGCAGCCCGTCTCTGTGAGAAAGGGACACACAAAACCTAAGCCTTCACCCACACAGGCAAGGAACAGGGTAAATGAAACATCCTGGCTCTAAGAACGCTGAAAATGTCTCTAAAGGGGTCTCAAAAACAGAAGAAGTAGCCAGGTGTGGTGGCTTATGCCTGTAATCCCAGTACTTTGGGAGGCCAGGGCGAGAGGACTGCTTGAGTCCAGCTGTTCAAGATCAGCCTGGGCAACACAGCAAGACCTTGTCTCTACAAAATTAAAAAAAAAAATTAACCAGGCATGGTGGCACACACCTGTAGTTCCAGCTATCTGGGAGACTGAAGAAGAAGAATTGCCTAGGCCCATGAGGTTGAGGCTGCTATGAGCTGTGATTATCAAGACCGTGCTACTGCACTCCAGCCTGGGCAACAGAGTAAAACCCCTGGCTCAAAAAACAAAACGAATTGCGGCATCAGCATCACCCCCTCACGTGTCCAGTTTTGTCTCAACTTCCCCATCCCTGGCATGGGCTGCAGAGCTCTCTGGTCACTCTCCATGACACAGGAGGTTAACGAACCCTTCAGATGGAGCGTCTCTGGAGACACTTACAAAGGTGAGACACTTTGCCAAATACATGCAGAAGCTCAGGACTAGAACCCCAGTTTGAACGCAGCTAATGATTTTCCCATCAAGGACCCCAGAAATGTCACTGGTAACTCTTCCTGAGGCAACACACAGCAGTTCTGGCCTTCCAGGGGCCTCTCTGGGAAGAGGCTCCTGTGTCAGCCTCCTTGAATCCGGACCCAGCCTCTCTCCAGCTCTTCTCACCTGCGTCCCTGCTGACCCTGGCTCAGCATCTATTGCTTTCCAGATGGGGCAGAACAGGTGAATTAAGACACTATTTAGGTGGACAGAGTCTTCCACAACATAAAGGAGGACCTACTGTGATTCCTCAACTTCCCTTCCCCAGACCCAGGCTGTAGTTGGCCTCATCCTCCACCCTTCAGGCTCTAAACTGCTGACCATGCAGTGACCAGGGCAGACCCTCGACAGTACATCACTGCTATCAGGGGGAAACGAGCAGCTGGAACTCAGTACCGGAGTACGGTCATATCATTCTTGTCTCACTTGAATGACAGAATACTAGGTCGAGGCTAGTAGACTGTCATTACTCAAAAACAATCCACTGTGGCCAGGCATGGTGGCTCACACTTGTAATCCCAACACTCATCAAGGAGACCAAGGCAGGAGGATTGCATGAGCCCAGGAGTTTGAGACCAGCCTGGGCATGGTGAGTCCTCATCTCTAAAAAAAAAAAAAAATCAAAAAATTAGCTGGGTATGGTGGCACACACCTATAGTCCCAGTTACTAGGAAGGCTGAGGTGGAAGGATCACTCAAGCCCAGGTGGCCGAGACTGTGGTGAGCCATGATCCTGCCACTGCATTCCAGCCTGGGTGACAGAGCGAGGCACTGTCTCAAAAAAAAAAAGTCCACTTTGACATTACAATTAATGTCCACTGATGACATTACTTACATCTTAAGCATATACAATTAAATAAACACACTAAACCCTTTCAAATTTCTGTTTTATTCTTAGTTGGTGTCTAGCACTTACAAAAAACCTGCTAAGCAAAAAGCACACAGCTGCTGGGGAAACTGGCCGGGAGCTGAAAATCAGAGGACTCAGCTCCAACTCGAGAAGCCACAGGTGTGGATCGAGAAGGCAGGTGTATTTTCTTCCCACGTCTCCTAGGAAAACAGATGAACTCAGCGCCTGAAGTATTTCGTTGTTCAGAGTCACTAAGACTATCTCACTGCCCCTCCCCATCACTCATCCCCTCCCTCTGCTGTGTCCACATCCCCTGCCTCAGTCAGCCCTGCGCCTTCTTCCGGGACTTCCCGCTTCCCGTCAGCCACTCTGAGCCTCCACTCTGTGAGTCCCGGCCTCATCTCCGGAACGGGGGCCTCCACCGTGGACCTCCCCCTGCCGGGCCAACACAGCCTCAGTTCAGAGTCTCAGCATTTCCTGTCTGGCTTCCAGCAGCATGTGTCTACGTTAACAGAGATTTAGATGATTTTAAAATATTTTTTCCAAACATGGTAAGAGTATAAAATGAAGATCCTCTCCCCTGGAGGCAACTTCTGTCGATAGTATATTCTTCTAGAAATATTTATGTGATCCCATAAAATAATAATAATTGGATTATTGTTGGAGATGCCTATTAAACACATCCTATGTGCCAGGCAGTGTTCTAAGCACTTGCCATGTATTGACTCACTCAATGTTCACGACAACCCTAGAAACTAGATCTATCATTTATCCCCACCTACAGGTGGGCAGAATGTGCCGTGCACGTAGCTCGTCAGTAGCAGAGTCCGAATTTAAGTCAGACCGCCTGCTTCCACTGCTCTTGACCAGCACGTTATTCTGCCTTCCGAGGGGGGGGGGCTGTGTGTGTGTGTGTGTGTGTGTGTGTGTGTGTGTGTGCTGTTTTTATTTCTTTATTTATTTTTTGAGTTGGAGTCTCACTCGGTTGCCCAGACTGGAGTGCAGTGGTCGCTCCCAGTCACTGCAGCCTCGACCTGCTGGGCTCCGGTGATCCTTCCGCCTCAGCCTTCCGAGTAGCCAGAACTACAGGCATGTGCTACCACGCCCGGCTGATTTTTTGATTTATTGTAGAGATGAGGTCTCGCTGCCTAGGCGGGTCTCGAACCCGCGGGCTCAGGCAATCCACTCACCTCAGCCTCCCAAAGGCGCGGGATTACAGGCTGAGCCACCGAGCCCAGCTTGTTTTTATTTTTATTAAGCAAAAATGCTAAATTTATTTTATATTGGTATAGACAATTTAACTCCATTACCATATATATATATAATACTTTTTAATTCTTTCCAAAAGTCTTAGGGCTCAGTGAATTACTAGAAGAGCCTTCTTTTTTATTCTTATTTTAGAGTTGCAGCTACATGTGAGGTTTTGCTACATAAGTAAACTGCGTGCAGGTGAGATTTGGGCTTCTAGGGAGCTCTCCCCCTGGTAGTGGACATGATACCCAATGGGTGGTGTGTGCCCCTTATTGCCCCTCCCTCCCTCCTTCAGCAGTGCCCTGCCCTAGTATTTTCAACAATATATCCCAGCGACTGGCTCATGCCAGCATAGTGCAGAGCTGTCTCACCTCAGAACTACAAAATACCAGATTGTTAGGGGTGCTGCATAAGTAAGCCAGCCTCTTGCTGTTGGGCATTTGGGTGTGTGAGCTGTTTCCTTTTTCTGTTATAAACAATGCTGCAATGAACATCCTTGTACGATACATCTTGGCACAGAAGTGTGGATACAGCTGGGAAAACATTCCTAGACACAGAATTACCAGATCAAAGCACTGGTGTCTCTGAATTCCTGGTCCTGTCCTCTTCCCACTCCCACCAAAGCTAGCTTTGTCAGATCTGGTCACATCACTCCCCAACTTTTTAACGTTTCAAGGGCTTCTTCAGTGCCAGGCACATGAGGTCCCCATTCCTCCGCTTATCCCAAAGGTCCCCATAAACCAGCACCTACCAAGCGTTCTGGCCTCCTCTCCCAGCTCCTTGCCCCACACGATCACACCCCACGGCTGCTGGGCTCCTTAGTGTTCCCTGCCACTTGGCCCTAGGGACTCCCCCTCACTGTCCGGCCCCTCCTCTGTGAGGCCTTCCCATCAGACTGGGCGTACCACACCTGAGGACCCATTTCTCACTAAGAGTACAATTCTTTGTTGATCTCTCCTCCAAAAGTCTGTGAATTCCTTTAATTTTACGTCCTTAGTTCCTAGCATAGAACCTGCCAAACATTAGATCAATAAAGGATCGCCGAGTACATGAATAAATAAAATTAGATAAATGGAATGCTTTGATTTTGCTGGGAAGTGAGTTCATTTCAGCAGAAATCAGATTCCCTGGAGAGCAGGAAGTGTAGCCTAGTAACACACAACACACTCTGAACCCTGGAGACTACACAGAGCACATGTGTGGAACGAAAAGATGTTTCCTGAAGCATTGGTCGTGTTTCAAAGGAGGAAAGAGGCAAGGTTTCAGTTGCAATTACCTATGTGTATCAAAGAATTCACGTTATTTTTTGTGAGTTTGCAAGTGTATTATACGTAAATTATTGATGCTATTTAATAAGGTGTTGTATTACCTTTTTTCCTTTACTTTTTTTTTTTTGCCCTAAGCTATACTTTGTTGCCTCAATTTACACATTTCCCAGGGACGACACTCCTTTATAAGGAAGTTAGCATTCTAAAGAAGTCTTCACTAAGTAACCCTGGCATCCTAGATAAAGCAAGATTGTGCAGTGTGCAAGATGACTTCTGTTCCTTTTCCTCTGACTGCACTTTCCTGGCTTTCCCCTCCCTGTCCCCCTTATCAATTGGGAAAAGTTAGATTATCTAATCCTTTTTACTTATGATTGACTGATTGAATTTTAATTAAAATTCGTTCACACTGAAATGTTATCTCAACTAGAACCGCAAGCCTGTTAATTGTGGAATTAAAAGCTTTCCTCCTGTTTATATAAATCTTCAGGCATCAGTAAATAGATGGATAAATATTGGAGGAGGAGGGTGGGGAGCTCCTTGAAGTCATGTTAAGCCTCCTCGGCTGGCTGGACCAGAAGGCAATCTGTTCTCATCTACCTGGGGTGACCCTGGGACATGAGAGCACAACAACATGTCATACTACATCATACCATCAACAATGGCCACCCAGTATCTCACTTGGTCCTCACAGTGGCAAACAGAGGGTCGGGAATGCCAAGGTCACACGGTTGGTGAGTGCAAAAGCCAGGATTCATGAATCAGGATTCATCTGATTCCAAGGCCATTGTCTGGCCTCTGTGGTGTTGGCACCTTCCAGCACTTTTCCTTGCTACCCAAACACCATTTAGGGCTCCCACCCCAACCCTTCCTGCCCTGAGCTACAGGAACATGCTCATTGGTAGCAATTCCTTCTGCATCATGATGTGAAGATTCACTTTTTTTTTTGATAGAGACAAGGTCTTGCTATGTTGAGCAGCCTGGTCTTGAACTCCTGGGTTTAAGTAATCTTTCCACCTCAGCCTCCCAAAGTGCTGGGATCACAGGCATGAGCCACCACGCCAAGCAAGGTTCACATTTTATTGGCTAATATTGAGTGATGTTTTCTATCATAATTCCTTACCCCAATCTACTTGCTCGTATGTTCTTTCCTGTCCCTGTGCCTCTGTTGCTGACAGTTTTACTTGAACATACCTACAGAAGAGTTATACGTTTATGTGGTCCACTGTACTTGGTTCTGAATAAAGATTTTGTGATTATCTGGAGATGTTGTGATTATTCCAATGTCTCTGAAGTGTGTGTATAGCCACCATCAGTCAGCAAGGTCTGTGAGCACCCACTGTGTGTCCTGTTCCCTGATCAGTCACCAGGGCAGCGCTCCACCCTCATGGGGAATACATTCCGGAGGCAAAGACAGTAACTTCCAGAAAATACATATAAATAAATTCTAAGAAGGAAACTAAGTGAGAGAAAGGAAATGAGAGTTTATTAAGTAATGGAATTGGAAGCCAGGTACCATGACTGACATCTGTAATCCCAGTATTTTAGGAGGCTGAGGCAACAGGATTGCTTGAGCCCAGGAGTTCAAGACCAGCCTAGGCAACATAGTGAGACTCTGTCTCTACAAAAAACAAAAAAAATTAGCCTGGTGGTGGCGTATACCTGTAATCCCAGCTACTTGAGAGGCTGAGGCGGAAGAACTGCCTTAACCCAGGAGGTCCAGCCATGATTGTGCCACTGCACTCCAACCTGGGTGACAGAGTGAGAATCTGACTCAAAAATAATAATACTAAATAAAATAAAATAGATAAATAAATACTGAGTTCTTGGGTATTTTAATCAGTCTATTACTTTATCACAGACATAGCGAGAGAAGTTACTGAGTAGTAAAATTTAACCCCTCACTTGCTAAACAAACAAGACAGTCATTACAAGAATGACAAAATAAAAATAAAACCACCCTTCTTTTCTCTCCCCCAAAATATGATCGGTTCTCTGGGAGATAAACTGAGGATGCTCCTTACCGTCACCTACCTTGCTTTCCTGTTCCCACATCGACAAGTGCTTTCAAAAGTAGAAACCACAAAGCAATGCAAGATCATCACCTGTGAACGGGGTGCTCTGAGTCCTCACAGGAGGGTGCCTGGCAGACACAGTCTCGTCTCTCACCCCGAACGGGGAAGGCACGGTCTCCACAGCAGGAGCCTCCGCGATAAGGGAGTCAAAGTCATCCTCCTCCTCTTCTGGCTCCTTCTTCCCCTCCTGCTCCTCCTCCTCTTCTCCTCTGCTCTCTTCTTCCTTCCCGCCTTCCTCGCTGGTGAGAAGCAAGGGACCAGGCGTGGGGCAAGTCTGTTCTACCAAGCCCTCGGTGCCGGAATCCAGTTCCTTAATGATCTGGTTGTACTGGGCAATGAAATCCTCGCCATCTGTGTTGACGGCCATCAGCTCTGGGTTGTGCTCTGGGCCAGAGGCAGAGGCCGCTGGCTTGGGGCTGGATTCTGGGGCCACACCAGGCTCGCGCTCTTGCGTTGGCTCCTCAGACACGTTTTGAAATAGGCCTGAATTGCCCCTACTGTGCTCCTCTTCCGAGTCTGTCTCTGGCTGGGGGCTGGGGAGGGGGCCATTGCTTATGGAGACACTCTGAGTCTGGGTCTGGCCCTCAGCTGGTGGCCTTGGGGCCTCCTGCTGTGAATTCCTGGCGTCCTCAGAGTCCTTCTCGGCACACAGCCTGTACACCATCACGTCGTCCTGGAAGTCCGACTCCTCGATGTAGGACCCCTTGAAGAGCAGGATAGCGTTCTTCTTCATCTCCTGGATGTGTTTGGGGGGGTCGATGGGCGCTGGGGGGCCTGGGGCCTCTACATCATCGTGAGGCCCGGGGGAGCCTACATCGGCCCCTGACGAGATCCCGGTGTCATAGCTGTCATCCCATTCCAGCTCCGGCTGGCTCTTGTCCTTCCTGGGAGCCAGCTGGGGGCCCATCTTCCTGGCGAGTGGCTGCGGGAGTCCAAACACAGGATAGGCCGAGCTGGCCCCACCCTCCTCAGTCAGACTCTGGAGAAACGTCTCGGGGTCGGGGGAGTCTCCATCGTACAGGGCAGACCAGACACGGCAGTCCCTCATGCAGTGCAGGATGTTGGTATGGGCCTCCCAGAGGTACTGCAGGTAGCTGATGTCTAGGGCTTTCCCATACTCCACAATGCAGGCCGACGGGGAGGGTGCCCCAGGGAGTGGCTTCCCCACGGGCCCTGTGGGAGGCAGAGACCAGTCAGAACAGGGAAGCATGGGGACACACAGGTGGACAGAGACGTAACCACACAGGCTAAGACTCTGCTCACCAGCTACTTGAGGTCTGATAATGTCTGATTACATGCTTTCTGATCAATAAAAAATGGTTAGATGGTAAGAAGGAAAAGAAATAGAAACTCTGCCCTTACAGAAGGTGTAACACTAGGATAGCCAGACAGTGGCCACAGCCAACGGAAGACTATTATTTGGTATCAGTCATTAGAGAAATAAGCATGAAGGATGGCAACCTCTCAGGTTGTTGAGGGGATTAAATTAGGCAATACGACTAAAATAGTACCTGCCACAGAGCAGGTAATAACTTTAAAGTATCTTTTTATCTAAAGTAGAAGGTCAGTAGTCTATGAATTTAGGAACTGGGTTCTCTATAGAAAAACCCTGAGTTTTCAGAAGAGCTTATGAACTCACTCTGCCTTCCTGGGGACTATCAGGAATGTCGATATGCATCAGATGGTCTCTTACAGTAAAGGCATATTCACTACCAATGTCATTTTAACCTAAGAATGCTTCCAAGCCGGGCTCGGTGGCTCAGCCTGTAATCCCGTGCCTTTGGGAGGCTGAGGTGAGTGGATTGCCTGAGCCTGCAGGTTCGAGACCCGCCTGGGCAGCGAGACCTCATCTCTACAATACATCAAAAAATCAGACGGGCATGGTAGCGCATGCCTGTAATTCCGGCTACTGGGAAGGCTGAGGCGGAAGGATCACCAGAGCCCAGCAGGTCGAGGCTGCGGTGGCCGGGAGCAGCCACTGCACTCCAGTCTGGGCGACAGAGTGAGACTCCAACTCAAAAAAAAAAAAAAAGAATGCTTCCTATGTTAACATGACTGTCTTTGATGTTAAAAAGTTCCAATTTTATTACTGAAAGAGCTGTGAAAATATCTGCATTTAAGTTTACATTTTCCCTCCAAAAAAGACTCAAGGAAAAATATATATGCTACCGTTTCCTAAACGTCAGGTATGTTGCAGGTGCTTTGCCAATGCTATCCAACTCTCCTAGTGATCCTGTGTGGTAGTATTATTAACTCCGTTTACAGATAAAGAAACTGAGGCTCAGAGACAAAAGAACACCCAACCCAAATAGAGGCAGAGCCACAATTCAAGCACAGGCGATTCTGTGCCAACCCCCATTCTTATTTCAGTGCCACCTCTTTCTAAGGCCTCATGGTTCTTCATGATCTAAATCTCTACCAGAGTAGGTCAGAATTGAGTCTTTAAGGGTATATACAAAGTCTGACAATTAGGTTCGAGAAACATCCTAGAAAAGCGCATGTGGCTAATTCGGGAACTTAATTGTCAGACCTCAGCAAGTAACAACAGTAGCTCTGATGATCATTCCAGAAAAAGAGTTCCAAAATTGCTTTGATAGGTGGACTAGGCACTGGCGTCAGTGTATAGTTTCCCAAGGGGAGTACTTTGAAGGTGACCATAGTGATATTCATCAATGAGGCATGTAGCACTTTTTCTAGGATGAGTTCACAAACTTAATTGTCAGACCTTGTTTACATTTTCAGGTCATTAAGGCAGACATAATTCATTTTTTACAGCTCTACTACAAAAATATTAGTGTTTATCTCTTATCTACCTTAAGTAAAAAGACATCAAAAACTATTACTGGCAAAATTTACTTGACACTTACTACATGCCAAGCAGTCTTCTAAGAGTTTTACTTGTCTTAACTCTCTTATCCTCAAAACAACCCTGTGAGGTAGGTACTATTTTATAGGTATCAAAACAATGTTTAGAAAAGTTAAGTAATTTGCCCTAGAAAGTAACACAACCAAGAGCAAATTACTTTGCACTGCACAACAAATACTCTAGCTAGCTAGCCAGCTAAGTGACCATCCATTAGGGCACTTATCTGCTATAAGGCAACCTGAGAGAGGCAGTATAGTAGAAAGAACATGAAACTGGAATCAGAGACCCCACCAGTTGTAAAGTCTTAAACAAGTCAGTTCCTGTCTCTGAGTTTGTTTCTTTATCTGTAAAATGGGAATACTATCTTTTTCAACTCATTAAAAGTGATCACACAGGCAAAGAAGGTGGTAAACTACAAGCCATCATATGTTTAATTTGAATGTTTAATTATAGGGCAAGATTAGTCACAGAATCATTCTTGAAACAACTTTCATAGTAAATAAAAAAGACATCAACTTTCAAATATGTTTTTAAAAAAACTTTCAGATGAGAAAACATAAACTATCCACACTAGTGTGCCTAACAGGAAATTACAATTATGATATAGTCATATAAGTTATTAATTTCCATGCACAAACTGTATCTTTATATAAAGACCAAGAATCAGTAAGACAACCTTGATTTCTAGAAATTACATTTATGTCAAACATGCTGATATTTTCTTAGCCAAACAGCCTGATTTTTAAATATATTTCTCTAAGAGGACTGCAGCTGGGTGGACAGAAAGACATTGTTGGGTGGATATCAATATATAGATTGGAAACACTTGAGTCAACACCAGGACTGGACCATTTTCTAGTGGTCACAGGACAGGCAGAATGTTCCTGAATTGAAACAGCCATATGACCACCAAATGCCCCCTTGCTCCAGCTTGCCTGACAGAGGGCAACCTCTCCATGGTTGACAGAGATGGTCATTTACATTTTCCTTGTACAAGATGGATTGTAGCTGCCAAATACCACCTGAGTATTATAACTCCTGTAAAAACAGAGTATGAAAACCACCTCACCAGGTCCATCAAATGAACCCAATATGTTGTCATATCACAAATTTCAAGTTTTATAATGATATATAATAATATACAAACCATTATGCTACAGTTCCATAAGTGGCTTTTTAGACATGAAAATAAGGGCTAATTCTATCCTAGCTACAGTCATCTCCACCCTCCACACCTCTGACCCACATTTAGTTTTTAGAAGACATGCTAGCACACATTTTCACATTTGAACTCTGAGGATACCACTAGAAAGTCCACTTAAAGGTCACTCTAGGTGACAGCTGGGCACTTCAATGAACACTGATTACAAAGTATCCAAAGTCTTTACAAAGCAGAAAAAGATCCCCAACTAGTCATTCATAAAAGAAACAGGACTTGCTGGATTATTCCCTGTCTGCCCAAAGGGACACATATCCCAAGGAGACAGACAGAATTGGCATCCTTTCGTTTAAAGGTCAGCCCAGTGAGTTCTTACCTGCACTGTCATGCATACACTTTGACCAGAGAATGTAATCCCTCTCTTGGTTCCCAAGCGTCAGCGTGATCCCACTGGAGCAGCAGACAGGGGTCAAGGCAAGCAGCTTGGCGGCAGACACAGAGTAACAGTCTCTCTCCTTCACAGCCCATCTTTGACTCAACATCATATGATTGCAGGGGATCAGATACCTGGAATGACAGAAAGAACCAGCATTCAGTCTCTGCCATGTCCCACACCATTCTCAGGACTAATGTTCTAAAGCACGAGAGGGACTAGTCATGGCCAGAGCTGACCGTTCTTCTCCCATTGCTCAATCCATCATATCAGCTATCAGGGCTCACTTCTTTGCTTAAAACTTGTCAAGGGGGTGGCTTATGCCTGTAATCACTTTGGGAGGCTGAGGTGGGAGGATTGCTTGAGGTCACGAGTTCAAGACCAACCCAGACCACATAGCAAGATCTGGTCTCTACAAAACATCAAAGAAATAAGCTGGGCATGATGGTGTGCCCCTATAGTCCCAGCTACTCAGGAGGCTGAGGTGGAAGGATCACTTGAGCCCAGGAGGTCGAGGCTGCAGTGAGCTGTGATCGTGCCACTGCACTCCAGCCTAGGTGACACAGTAAGACCTTGCCTCCCCCCCCAAAAAAATGTCAAGGGCTTCTTTCTTCTGACAGAACCTCTTTGAGAGCATTTAAGGGCCTTCACAATTTAAGTTCCACAAGCCTCTTCATCTCTTAAGTGACCCCTGTTTGCCTTTGTGCCTTTGCACCTGCTGTGATCTTCGCCCGGGGTGTGCTTTTCTCTTCCTCTGCTTGATAGATGCCCTTCATCCCACAAAGTCCAGCTTCTATCACCTTCTCTGGAAAGGCTTCCCAGCTCCTCACTCCAAGCCAGAGCTCGAGCTCACCTCCCCCTCCACTGTGCTCACAGGTCTCTATCGGGCATTATTACCTTGTAGCACAATTACTTCAGCATATGCCTCCTCAGTATAACATGCCACCACAGCACGGAACTGCTTCCATAGTTCTGTCTTATAATCCTGGAGACTCTGGGGCATAGTGGGCATGGAAGGGCAGTGATTAACAATTACTGCATAGTATAAACCTCTCCTTGTGTGCTCGTGGGGGGCCAGAAGAAGTCTGATAGCCAGCGACTCACTGAGGATCCCTGAGTTTGGTGATCAAAAGCATCTCAATACCACTATGAACCTGAGACAAGGAAACCGGGGAGACCGTTTCTGACACAGTTGGAGCCATCCATGGGCTTCATGGGTAGAATAAAGTGTGTTTAAACAGCTTACTTTCATCACAGGGAGAAAACCATACTGTTTATTTAGACAAAGATGGAGCAAAAGGGATACAGAACTCCTAGCCAGAGCTGCGCCCTGCAGATATGTGCAGGAGCCAACTCCAGATGAGCCAGAACCCTCGTGTGAACGATCACATCCTTCAAACAGTCAGCTTTCGAGAAAGAGACAGCACAGAGGAAAACAAGCTAAGATGAAGGCTTCCAAAGACAAGATTAGAAAGGTCGGGCTTGGTGGTTCAGCCTGTAATCCCAGCACTTTTGGAGGCCAAGGTGAATAGACTGCCTGAGCCTGTGGGTTCAAGACCAACCTGGGCAGCTTGGTGAGACCTCATCTCTACAATAAATAAGTAAAATTAGCCGGGTGTGGTAGCTCTGGCTACCTGGCAGACTGAGGCGGAACGATCGCCAGAGCCCAGCAGGTCGACACTGGGGTGGCCATGAGCATGCCACTGCACTCCAGCCTGGGTGATGGAGCAAGACTCTGACTCAAAAAAAAAAAAAAAAAAAGAAGAAGAAGAAGAAAAGATTAGAAGCACAACTTTTGGGCTATGTCTTCAGACCTGTAAACATTCAACCATCTCCCACACCCCTGCTGATCCAAACGAGGAAAACCTCAGTTTCTGCTAATAGCTGAGTCACTGCAGAGCCTGAGTTGGAGAGGAAAGAGTCAATGCTCTTTGTGGTACTTTACCTTAAAGGCTTTAATAATACTTCCTAGCTATGAAATGGCAAGCTTGTCACTTACCCTTCAGTTCTCAAAAAAAGCAAACCATTTCTCAAGTCTTCTAACTACCTAGTGTAGCTAGGTCAGAGTGGGGGAGGGCCTCGTCCCCTCCCCGACTGCACCCAGACACGTGCACACTTAAACCACTATTACTAAGAACCAGACACACCCTGCGAGTCTGTTGTGGTGGCATCTGTGTTCATAAGCACCATTTCGTGAAAGTCGAATGTGGCAAGAACACAAGGGAAGATGGAGGGGGATGGTACAAGGCAGAGGGGTGGATCTGCTGGGATTCTTGGCTTGGCTCTGGACACTTGTGTCTGAGTCCAACTGGAGGAGAAATGAATGCTGCAGGTGGAAGATGAAGGGGCTCTTTTTCACAAGTCTCTGTGAGCTGGGATGCTCTGCTGACCAAGAATGACACAGGGCACAGGCATTCTCCAACCTGTGTCCATACACAGCACAGCTGGGCCCAGCAGGCAGCCAGGGAAGCGTCCTGCACCTCAGGAGGGTGCCGGGGGAATGGGGCAGGGGACAGCAACCACAGCGGGGCAGGAGTAGGTGAGGAGACCAGGAGACCTCAGCAGACACTGCTGTGGCACCTGTGGTGGGAGACAGACATGTTCAGGAGTGCATGTAAGACCCCTCACTCGGGGATCCCAGAAGTGATGGCTGATGCTTTACAAGGGGTCAAGGTCTGACATGAGGTGGCCAGGGTGAGAGCTGGGAAACCTGTCCCGGGGCTGGTGAGGCCTAGGGAAATTCAGATTACATGGGACTTATTGTATTCTTATTTTGGTCATTAGTTATTTAAGAAATAAGCTGCTTCAATGCTTTTATATACTGCAGGAACTCAATGACTGCTTACAGCTCAAACCAAGCATATTTCATGATTTAAGTTGATATGCATAGATTTTTACTCTTTGTTTGAAGTATTAAAAAATGAAACACTGGATAAAGCTAATAAAGCTATTTATCACATATCACCAGTGGGTAGCTTGAAATGATATTAGAATAAAGAGTTATTGGAAATTTGCAACTTTGCAAATATATGCTTTCAGTAGGAACTAAAAACTTCCTTCTGAATAAATCGAGGGAGAGCCCCTGTTGGTAGAAAGAGAGATTCTATGAAATTAGAAATGGGGAGTCTGGCCAGGCACAGTGGCTCATGCCTGTAATCCCAGCACACAGGGAGCTGGGGGGTGGGCAGTAACCACAGGGGGCAGGAGTAGGTGAGGAGACCACAGCAGGTGCTACTGTTGCACCTGTGGTGGGAGACAGACTCATTCAGGAGTGCATGTAAGACTCCTTGCTTGGGGATGGCTTGCACTCAGGAGTTCGAGATCAGCCTAGGGAATATAATGAGCTCATCTCTAAAAAAGGGGGCGGGGGAGGGTGAGTGTGTTCAAATGAATGACAGCCTCCCTGGTATTCAAATAGGTTATCTGATGGAAAATAAGCCAGACACAGAAAGACAAATACTGCATGTTCTCACACATATGTGAGAGCTAAAAAAGTGGGTGTCAGGGAAGTAGAGGGCAGAATGGCAGTTACCAGAGGCTGAGAAGGGAAGGGGAAAGGAGGGATGAAGAGAAGTTAGTTAAGAAGACAAACACACAGTTAGATAGAAGGAGTAAGTTCCAGTCTTGGTAGTACAGTAGGGAAATGACATTTAACAATACTTTATTATATTTCAAAATAGCTAGAAGAGAAGAATTGGAATTGGTCCCAACACAAAGATAAACTCTTGAGGTGATGGATGTCCCAATTACCCGGATTTGATCATTACACAATGTACACATGTATCAAAATATCCCGTGTCCTATGTACGCCCCAAATATGTACAAATCTCATGTATCAATTTAAAAGAAAAAAAAACACAAAGCAGTAGTTCTGCTGTGCCTTTAAATGAAGGACTGTCCCAGAAGAAAGAGTAGACACCATACTCTGAGCCTCTGTCTTTCCATCATTTACAGGGAAAGGCTAGGAATAGAATGAATGCCAGAAATTCCCTAGATGTCAAATGTCAAAGTGGTTGTCAACAGCAGAAAAATCACTTAGGTATTTATCATCAAGCTATCTTTTCATTTATATCTCATTTATTTCATTTGGGGATTTTATTTACATTCAGGAAGCAGTAAAAAGAATCAGAAACTTAAAAAAGTACCTGACTTTAGGAATCTAGAGTACTCAAAGCCATTCCCCAACACAGCAGGAAAAAGAAATATTGTCCTCCCTGTTTTCATTATTTCTCCAACTTTTCACAGCTCTGGGTTTCCTATTTTCTTGAATATCAGTCATTCAATCAAATCATCATCACTTCTGAAATAATTCAGTGACAATCAACTGGTAACAAAACACACGTGTCGCCTATTGCTACAGGAACAATAAAAACAAACAAAACAAAGCCGTGAAATCCAATGGGTAAGTGAGGTGCTTCTTCTGAGATGACAATCACCCCAGCAATGCAGCAATGGGCAAACATCTACAAAGTCATGTTGGTGAATTTCAAATAGATAGGCTGCTGTTAAAGAAGTCTTGACCATGCTTCTCCTACTCACTTCCCCAGGCTGGTTGGCTTTTGTGGTTTGCTTTTCCTGTCCTCCAGACTTCCAACTCCCAGGCAAGATGGAAATGTTCCTTCTTCAGGCAACACAACCTCTACCTGAGCCCAACAGGCAAGGCAGTTCGGAAACCTGACAGTGAACTAGGCAATTCAGGAAAAAGCACCCTAACCAGAATATTCCAAAACACCATCCGCAGTATCAAGCAATTAAATTTTGCACCACTGGGAAGTTCCTGGCACATGGCAGTGATTTGTCAATTCACTGCTTGTCAGCACTTCCTGCCTGCCGTTGGCCTATCAGATGTCACAGTCGTGGAAGTGGACAATTTCTTCTTGGTTTTCTGCTCATGAAAATTTCCTCTCTTTTAGAGGACCTTATTTCAACTTGCTTTTCTGATATTTTGCTAGATTAAAGAAACTAATATCGGTTTCAACTGGGATACTATTTTGCAATGTTAATATTTAAGAGTATCTGGGTTGCAACAAAAATTGACACATGGTTATTATTTATTTATTATGTAACAAATACCTCCATTAAAAGTATTCCCATAATCCTCTCTGCTCTCCTGCCTTTCAGATCTGTAAGTTCA